ATTAGCTGGGGGTAGTTTATTATGCTCAAACTGACTGAAGCCATCACGGGAGAACGTTATCAACTACAATTGGTGTGTTTGAGCGTAACATTGAAGAAAAAACGCTGGTAATAGCTTTCTTCTTCAAAAATTTATTTCTGGTAATAAAACCTAGATTTACACTTTCATAATGCTTTTTACCTTAGTTTCGGGGTTAACTATTTGCCCATAGCTGGGACCCTAACAGGTGCTACCACCCTAGGTCAGGGTAGACCTGGGAACACCAGCAATTAAAAGGTGGGTCCACACTCCTCAAAGCCTCCTGATCAGAGGCCTTGCTGTTGGATGTAGTTTATCGTCTTATGGATGCAGATGTACTTTATCGTCATACCCAGGACGGTTTTTCATGTTGGTTGATTTTGCTATAAAATATATTTTTAATAATTCTACTATAAAATGTATTGTTGTTCATTTTGCTTTACAAATGTATTGGTTGCTTAGTTGTTTTTGTCTAGCGGCATATCAACTTCTATGGGTTATTTGATGTGGGTAGCCATTTTGAGTACAGTTTTATGGTTTCAACTACAGATTAAGTGTATTGTTGGTAATTTTACTATAAATATTTATTGTTGGTAATTTTTTTATATAAAAATGTATTGCTGGTATTTTTACATTTTCATAGTGTTTGTTTTTGTTTGGGAGTTCACTAAGGTTATTTGCATAAAAGTGAATATAATAAACTCAATTGGAATTGGAACTTGGTTCTCCGATTAACAATTCCGAGCCATTATCCATTACACCACCTAGTATTCCCAAACGGTCACTCATCTAGGTACTGACCAGAATTGCAATTGCTTAACTTTGGTGAATGTATGGAAACAGGTATTTTAATCCAATATGGCCATAAACTTGAGAGGGAGAGAGAGATACTTACTAATCAAATAGCACATTCTGTTGTGGACAGATTCCAAACCAACTGTTACTCTTGCTTCTGTTCGAATCACAATAGATCACTTCTCCACTAGATGCTTCCATAATTCCAGACATCATCTGACTGAAAGACACAATGTTGAATGGTCATTCAAAAGGACAAAAAAGAAACAAGCAAACATTCTCTTAACATATAAAAAAGGTTTTGACTTTGTTAAAGATTTATACACTGATTTTTTTGGGACATGTCCTCATCTTAGTGGTTTCAATTGTTGTACCATCCGACCTTCTTCAGGTGTTTATCATCGTTGGTAACCTTTCGGGAATTTTGAACTGAACTTTTTGTTGTATCATGTTGGCACTCCCACATATTTAAAAAAAAAAAAAAAAAAAAACGAAAGTAAAAAGCTTAACCAGCGATCATTGTAAAACTGATCCTGGATATAAATAGGTCTCAAAGCAATGAAAAGATTAAAGTGTAGTATATGCAGCAGACAGACAGCCCATGGCTCTGGCCATCAGCTGCTGCTATAGAAGGCCTCTAGCTTCCATGGCTCAAGCCATCATCACCAGCAGCAACGATATGCAATGAACTGTTCTTTTCAGTCAATGCTCTCCAGCAACTACAAAATATTCCAGTAGCAATAATATGCAATAAACTATTCTTTTCAGGACAATGCTTTCAAATGACTACAAAAATTGTCCTTTTCAGGACAACACTCTCCAGTGATTACAGTATTGTCTTTTTCAGGACAATGTACTCAAGCCATTACACAATTGTCCTTCCCAGGACAATGCTCTTCTCATTACGTTGTAAAGATAAACACTTCTACAATCACACTGTAAAGATAAACACTCAGTTGTGGAACAAGCTGAGAAAAAGACTCCTCCACCTTGAGAAAGAGAGCTATTTATGGTGCCATTTAAAACTTGTTAATTTTTGGATTAAAATCTGTGTATGGAATTTTAAATTCATTCATCAATATCTAAATCTAATGCAGACTTTGTATATCAAAGAAATGATAGCATCTTAATTTAAACTAAAATTCTACTTAATAAATGACACAAATGTACTTACAATGTTGTGGTTTTGCCAGCTCCATTTTGTCCTAGTAGTGTGGTTATCTCTCCATTGAAGAAATCTAAACACAGGTTATTGACTGCTGTGTTGTCTTTATAGTTCTTCGACAGATTGATCAATGAGATTCCAACATTGTTCGTATTTAATGGAGGTTCCAATAACATTTCGGTTGATGCTGCAAGAGGGACAAGGAAAACAAATAAATGGTGTATATTTCTATGTGCTCATACAGTGCTTGGAGAGTGACCCAGACAAAACCCAAAGAAATGGCACAAAGAGTGTATAAAGACAGACATTTCTTATTAAAACTGAGAAGTAGAAGCTAAAATGACAGTAAATGAATATGAAATGAAACGTATAAGTGAAATGAGCAGTGAGGAAAGGTGATGATCTGGCATTAAATACATTATTCAGACTATTGTCCTCATCTTTGTTGCCATATCTATCACAATGTTTCGGCCTTTCAGTATCTGTCTATATTTCTGAGATGAGGTATTATATACACTATTTACATTATTTAGACTATTGTCCTCATCTTTGTTGCCATATTTATTATTAAAAATGTACTGTTGATTTTTGTTTGGAGGTTCATTATTTGCCCAGAACTGGGACTCCAACAGGTACTACAACCTCGGGTCAAGGTGGACCTGCTAACAAGAGAAGAGGTTTTTTCCACACATCTCATAACCTCCAATCTCTCAATCAGAGGCCTTGCTGCCAAATGTAGTTTATCATCATACCCAGGGTGAAATTTGGCTGGTTTTAACTGTTCCATCTGTCAACATGTATTTAAAAATTCTCGATTGATTCACGCTCTACAGTTTATGAACAGATTGCAGGTTATTTAAAGCCAGAATATATTTTTAGATTGTAAAAATTTTTTGTTTGAAAAATAATAATTTAGTGATACAAGTCTTACTAATTAACCCATAGCTGGAGGTAGAGGAGGTGCATTAATACTTTCCCAAGAGTATTTGTGCATAAATGAAAAAAACACACCCAACTTGAATTGGAACTCAGCTCTTTGATTAACAAATCTGACTCATTATCCATTACACCACCTGGTATTCCCAAGCGATTACTGACCTGGAATGATGTTGCTTAACCTCAGAGATTATAAGGATAGCAATGTTTCAACAAGATACGGCCATAAACACAGGACTTGAAAATCATCTTCATAGACATGACAGGTTATGTGATCACCAAAGCATGATTCCTTTCCAGGCACAAAATAATAAATAAGCAAAGAAGAGTTGTTTGATAAAAAGCCAACTGCTGATATATGGCTCTGACCTTAGGATATTGAGCATTGTGCTAAAAAATATCAACCTGCACTTAATTGGAATTACATTTCAATTCAATGATTAAACCTTTATATTGTGTGTTTCTCTGTGTGTGTGTGTGTGTGTGTGTGTGTGTGAATATATATATATACATACATACATACATACATACACATACACCTGTGTTTGGTGTGCAACTTAAGTTTCGTTGGTTACCCAACTCGTTGGGCACAAGATACAAGTTGGGTAACCAATAAAACTTAAGTCGCACACCAAAAATAGGTATGTGCAATTATTAATATATATATATTTGTTGCTCTGTCTAATCACATTGAGCACTATTATGTCTACACCTCTTGGCAATTATTTATTTGCTTACCAGCGTATACATGCCATCATGCACGTATACAGTTTCTAATATCTAGTTATTTCATTTACCTAACCCTATATATATATATATATATATATATATATACAGACACACACACTTTTCACCTAACTGCAGGTTAATCTTATGACCTGTCAGTCCAGGAGCACCTATCCATATCAAGATCTAGTGTTAGTAAAGCAGCCACCCATCTTAGTACTGAACAGACTAAACATTGCTTAACTTCTTGAGAACTGTTAGTCTAGAAGCACCTACACATATCAAGGTCTTTTGTTAGTATATGTAGTGAGATTGTATGCGTCACTAGCTAGTCCTTCATCATAGCTTGCAGTGCCTTGTATTCAACAATGGTCATCCATTTGAATACTGACCTGTCTTAATGCTTAACTCCTTGTAAATTGTCAGTCAAGAAGTACTTACACCACATAGTACTTCTGTTAGTATACATAGCAATATTATATCCATCAACAGCTTGCTAGGCCTATAGCATTGCTTGCAATACTTGGCATTCTCCAGTAGTCATCCACCTGAGTACTGACCTGGCTTAATGTTGCTTAATTACTTGTAACCTGTCAGTCCAGAAGCACGTCCCCCATATCAAGATCTTCTGTTAGTAAAAGTACTGAGATTGTATCCATCACTGGCTTGCGAGGTTTGTCATATAGCTTACAGCACCTGGTATTCCTCCGCGGTCACTCATTTTAGTACTAAACAGGCTCAATGTTGCTTAACTTAGGTGATTGAATGAGAACTGGTGTTTCAATGTGATGTGTGAGTTTGTACATATTGTTTAAAATTTGCTATAAAGGAATAGTGTTTAATATCAGATACAGAGCATTTATAGACAGTGTGGACATAGGTATCAACATTGTATGGTGACTGTTAGGTTCATGCTGTAATACTCTTACCATTAAGTGGAACTGTTACAAAATTACTTACCATAAGCAGAACTGCTGATGGAAGAGGTAAGATATTTGACTGTTGAGCTTTTATTGCATCTCCAATACTTCAAAGTGAAAGGAAAGTTCCATGGCTTTGGAATACCATATTTACCTACAAGAAATAAATCTCAGAATTTTTATTTAACGGTAAAAAAACTCTTATCTGAAATTCTTGAGATCAGATACTTTGGCAAATTTTACAGATTTCAGAATTGTAGTACATATATACCTTAATTAACATTAAAAATAATCATATAAAAAAATGAAATACAATTTTCCTAACTCAAGAAAACACTAGAATGCTCAAAAATTAACAATGATAGTGTATGTCTAGAAAACCAGAAGTCAAAATGGATACAACTGAAAGAAAAGAGGAAAAAAACAGTGAAGGTTAAGGAGTGAGTTTAAAGTAAAAAAAATGATGTAAACAACAAATAACTATGACATGCACATGGGCGGGCACATGCATGCAGACACACACATTATGCAAAAAGAGAATTGCATCAATGAAAAGTGCATATAAAAAAAAGAAAAATCGAGAAGTATAAGCAGTTATACTGCTGATAATCCCTGAAGAGTGGATAGTGTAATTCCTGGAGTGTGTGTCAAAGAAACTCTAAAGTTGGGATGCTGAAAGGAACATCAATCAGTTAAGGGACAAAACTTTTACTTGTATAAATTATAAATATACTTTAACGTCCTAAATGTTTCTCACCCATATTTATATATTATCTATTGTGTTTATATATGTGACACATGTCTGACCAATGAGAACTACCAAAAATCATAATGGTCCATTACTTTGTCTCTCTGCGTTTTCATTTTTATTCTCAATCTCTGATGAGGCCTTAATAAAGGTGAAACATGTTAGATTGAGATTAGTTTCCAACATTGTTCTTTATTTAATTTTATCATATATATATATATATATATATATGTATAAAATTGTAGCCTCTATCACTTTGTTATTGAACTCCTCATAGGGTTTGGGAGATACACCCATAACCTCATATATTCTGAAACTAAATTACCCAGGGTACTTGGATAAGTATACTTTATTTAGTTCAAAGGAGGTCACACACTCTCAACTGGAATTTTTTTCCCCTTTGATTTAGATTAAATTTAAACAAGGGAATGACACCTATGCAAACTTTAGAAGGAGAAAGCCAGAAGATGGAGGTCACATCGGCAAAATCATTGTGTGATATTGAAATGTATCATTTTTCTCCACAAATTATAACAATGATTTAAAATCAATCATCATTTTCTTACAAAAAAATGTGTGACATATAGCAAGGTGTGGGTAATTCAGCTAGTGTATATATGATAAAAATGTAGTTTAAAGGTACTCATTATCAGAGACAGAGCATATGTAAATAAAGAAGTGAGCATGTTGAGGTCCACAGCGTGTTTCATGCTTAAACACAATTGTCAGGCTATATATGTCCAGGTAAAATGAGAACATTTAATGTTTCAACACCACAAATGTATCTCACTTACCAGTCATTTGAAATTTCCCAATGAGACACATTTGTGGTGTTGAAACATGATTGTAATTGTGTAGCAATTTTAAACATGTTTTTGTTTTAATATCCTAAAATAAATAATATATATTATTCTTATTATAAGAGATTATAATAAGAATAATATATATTATTCTTATTATAAGAGATTATAATAAAAATGTTGAAATCGCTACACAAAAGCTTTCATGTTTCAATACTTTGATTGCATTTCTTCAGGTAGTGGTAAGTAACTGGTGATTAAATGATTTTTGAGAAAGTTTCAAATCAAAGTGTTACCTCTTATCTGAAAGTTAAAGGGGTGGAGCATAAAGTCAGAACTAAAAATAGACTTTTGGGTATGTCTTGATTAACCAATTAACTATCAAATCTGTTCTTTCTCTCATTTTGGATGCATTGAGCACTCTTTTAAGAATAGTAATTTTGGTTATTGGAATTTATCCCGTATACACCAATATATAATTGATATATATATATATATATATATATATATATATATGAAGAAAAATATACAGAAAAAACAAACAAAAATCCTAATATGCAATTATGCTGTGTTAATGTTAATATAAACTCAACGTCAGACGTTTCGGTCTATTTTAGACCATCATCAGGACATATTCATAAAACATAATTAACATTAGAACATATAAAATTCAACACGAAAAAGACGAACATAAGAGCACAACTAATCCAAACAGATAACTGAAATTTTTATATAAGATCAGCGTTCCGTTTAAAATATGATCATGTTGTCGTCACGTGGGCAATGATGTGAAAACGTATTCAAAGATGATTTCAAAATATTAAAACATTAAACAAACTTGATTGAACTATTTTCTCTTATAAACAGTTCGTCAAGAAATCCCTTCCGTTGATATAGGAATACGCAGAGATCAATAGGTTCTTATATTTTCATACAAGCTTGAAGTTAACCAATAAGAACCAGTGTAATTTGACCATGAACTATGTAAAGAAGAAACTGTTTATGTTTGTCATGCATTTTTGGTAATATGTAAAAGTGGTACTTACGTTTTTTAGTGTTCTTTACATACCAACCAATAATACAATAGAACACACTGTCAATGAGCATCATCATACAGGCCATAGAAAAGTTCATTTTGTCACCTTCGATATGACTCTGGTTAATGTTATCCCATTGAATGCCAGTTTGCTTTTCTTCAAACGTAGATAGATATAGAGCACCATAACTAAATGCAGTTGTTGATGACAGAGACTAGAAAGAACAGAGAATAAAAACAAAATTAATGATTTGCTTTATTAATGAAAGAGACACTGAGCAATATATCAGCAGAAAATGTGAGGCGGAGAAGAATTAAAAGAATTAAATGCTCTTAGAATAGGGCTATTATATGTATAATGTAAATGCATTGCTAATGATTTTACTATAGGAATGCATGGAAAATGAGGAAGAAAGGGATTGTCAGTGGTCAGGAATGAAGGCAAGCATTACTGATAGAATAGGGCTATTATATGTATAATGGAAATGCATTGCTAATGATTTTACTATAGGAATGCATTGAAAATGAGGAAGAAAGGGATTGTCAGTGGTCAGGAATGAATGCAAGCATTACTGATAGAATAGGGCTATTATATGTATAATGTAAATGCATTACTAATGATTTTACTATAGGAATGCATTGAAAATGAGGAAGAAAGGGATTGTCAGTGGTCAGGATTGAAGACAAGCATTACTGATAGAATAGGGCTATTATATGTATAATGGAAATGCATTGCTAATGATTTTACTATAGGAATGCATGGAAAATGAGGAAGAAAGGGATTGTCAGTGGTCAGGAATGAAGGCAAGCATTACTGATAGAATAGGGCTATTATATGTATAATGGAAATGCATTGCTAATGATTTTACTATAGGAATGCATTGAAAATGAGGAAGAAAGGGATTGTCAGTGGTCAGAAATGAAGGCAAGTATTACTGATAGAATAGGGCTATTATATGTATAATGTAAATGCATTGCTAATGATTTTACTATAGGAATGCATTGAAAATCAGGAAGAAAGGGATTGTCAATGGTCAGGAATGAAGGCAAACATTCAGAATCAAAAAATTACTTACAGCAATGAACTTGTAAATTGCCTCATTGTTACTCATGGACTGGAGCAAAACATAAGGCATGTATGAAAATAAGTAAAAGATGAGACCTGTCAACACAGCCAGAGTTGAATTGGTAAAGAATGAACTGACCATATAACTAGAAAAAAAAGAAAAAAAAACACGATTGACAATATTGAAAATTATTTCATGACCACATGGATTTTCATTCTATTCAAAATGCAGATCCAGAATGCAGAAGGGTATGCCTTCTTCAGAGCAGGAAAAAATCTGAATCATTTTTTAAAAATATGAGGTCAATTAAAAAATTAGCAAGTTAGTCTTATAGTTCTGTAGCATAAATAAGCTTGTGTTCCCCTGACGTTGATCATACAACACTAAATATTTCTTTTTCAATCAGTCGTTCTATATTTCCCGTATACGTCACCAATGTAAAAATCATTCTCCTTCTCACTGCTTCAGACCTTTTTTATCATACCAACACCACGGCTGACTGATCAATTAGCATTCTTCACTTTGTCCTCAGTTACCCAGGAAAATGGCACCCTCAATTCCAGATCAATCAGCCTGTGACTTGCTATTGGTTGAACCACACTAAGCTAACCATGATTATTTACGAATTATTTAAGCCATTTTTCCATTGGTTGTCCTCATTTTCTTTTTCATTTCTGAGGCACTATGTCTGGTTTACATTAAAAAACAAGTTACTCAATGACATAGGAGAAGATTTACACTATTTACAGTGTTTAGATGTTGTCCTCGTCTTTATTGTCATATTCACGTTTCGGCCATTGTATGCTCCGGCCTTCTTCAGGATCTGTCTATATTTCTGAGATGAGCTAATGTAGCTATTTACATTGTAAGGACTGTCATTCTCATCTTTATTGCCATATTAAATCTGTTTCGGCCGTTGTACACTCTGGCCTTCCTCAGGTGATATTTATTGGAATTTTGAACCAAACACTTTATTTAGTCCATAAGGGGTAGATTGTTCTAAGTCTATGTACCATGTCTTTGGATATCTTAGTTTCAGTTAATTCCCCTTGGTAACTCAACTCTCCAAGTTTGTACAACAGCCAAAAAACATTGTGAGTATGGTAATCAAGATGAGGACAACAGTCTGAATAGTGTAAATAGTTACAATACCTCATTTCAGAAATATAGACTGTGAATATGGCAATAAAGATGAAGACAACAGTTCGAATAGTGTAAATAGTTACAATACCTCATTTCGGAAATATAAATACATAGGGCAAAATATCTATTTTAAAAGTGAATAATAAATCCTTCCTGCCCTTAAGTATGTTTTGGACTAAAATTAAAATTAAATGGCTGGTTATTTTCCAAACAGAAATTATATTAGTGTTATATCAGTACTTGTAGTGCACCGTTATCATTATTTCAAAAACAGTTTAAAGAACGTACCACATCATTGTTGTGGAGAAGCAATAGATGATGAAATAGAGGAACATGATGAACATGTTGCTGTAGCTGAAGATGGTACTGAAGTGAAGGATAATGACAATGATAATGCATACACAAGACATCATCAGCATAGTGGATACCACCCAGGCGAGCCAATTGATACCACTGTACATCCCCATAACCAGTAAGGCCTGAAAATAAACATAAAACAAGAATTTTCAATATATAAAATTGAATATATATATATATCATTAGAAAATCAGTTGATTCTGGAATCAGCTCATTTCCCAATTTTCTATACTTAAAAGCTCTCCATGTTAAATTTTTATCTTTTTACATATGTATTGAGTACTTTTTTAATACTACTGTTTCCTGGTCTAACTCAACTCTGACCATTAACTTCTTTATTATTATTATATATATATATATATATATATATATATATATATATATATATATATATATATATGCCCTGATGAGTGGCCAGAATGATTAGTAGAGGGTTCATTTTTTGAAACTCTAGAGTTGGGATGCTGAAGGTAATACCAATCACCTAAGTGACAAATTTATTATTTGTATTAATTATATATATATATATATATATAAATGGTGGTACTCGTTTGGAAAAACCTTGGATAGCTCGACTTGCAGTAGAATAAATTGGTACTTGAGGAAAAATGGATAAAAAAAAAGAAAGAACCAAGAACATAAAAACAAAGCGAAAACAATCGTCTAGTGTTCAAGCTCCAAGTCCAAAGAAAAAACCCCACAAACGAGTAAAAAGACAACTTAAGATAATCCTAAGGAACCAGGCAAACCTACCTAGGTTTCACCTAAATGGATTTTCAGGGTAAAGCACTAATGCCTGTAGAGGAACATTTTTTTCACACTTTAATGCGCACGTGACCATGACATTATAACATAAAAAAATAATAATTCCATAATGGATAATTTTTTTCACGTTCTAATGGATGCTCAGCACATTGTCAACCATTTTTCATTTAAAAGCATAATGAAAAAATTACGGTAATGGATAACAATACACAACTTGTACTAATGAACAACATATAGTTTGTACCTCTTGCACTCCTGAAGATGATCTTGGAAGAAGATCGAAAGTACTCAGGAAATGAAAATAAAAGAAATTTAAACAGCTATAGCACATTTCTCTCATCCTTTAACATCAATATGTGGAAGGTTATTCGTGTGTAAAAACAGATTTTGTTAAAAATTAGCAGACATAATGTCTGTAATTTATTCAATCAGACATGCCTAAAAGATATAATTTCTAATAGGATCCTTTCATAATTACAGACAAATTAAAGGAAGAAAATTATCATGTTGATGCATATTCATTTTATTCCAAGAACTTTCGACATTAGTCCAATGTCGTCATCAGTGTCTTGTTTTTCTAAGACAAAAGTGTTGTTGTATTCATCATTTTTCTGAGACAAACTTTTTGTGTTCATCTGAAAATTAACTTTTTTATGTATGTAACCCTAACGAAGCACATAATATATGTAGTTAATGAAAGGACCGTGCAGTTCACAATGATTCTATGATGCGGACTGTGGTCTGCCTTGTTGTTGTTTCCATTAGGATACAAAACTGAGCTGATATGTGTATATTTCAAGAATCGGGAGAAATCTATCCTAAAGAACTGTCCAGGCTTTGTCTGACCAGGAGGTTTTTTTTTGCCAAGAGTCCAAGGGATGTTAGATCTAATGATGGTTTCCCCTAGGGGATCCAGGTTCAAATCCTGCTGGAGGATGGATATTTTTCTATCAAGATTTCTCAAATATTCAGGCCAGTAGATGGAAATAAATAAATAAAAACAGAGCATCTGCTCAAATATGACTAGCCACTAAAAATAACATTTAAGCAATGAATTAAATATATATATATAAGAAGGCAGCCATGTTAGCAGGTAAGTCACTTGACTTCTACAATATATATATATATATATATATATATGAATAATCAAAAAAAAATTTTCTCCCTTATGTAGGGAATAGGCTATATAAACGATAAAAGTGTTCATTTGTCTTTTTAACCCCGATATGGAATTTTTTTGTGGGGGGGGGATTATTCATCATATGGCTCTGTACAAATAAAATACCTCAAGCATGTGGATCAATTTTAATATTTTTATATTACTAGAACTGACTTGGATTATACACCCATGGAATTTATTTTATTATTACTATATATGTGCGTGTGTGTGTATATGTGTTGTGTTTAAAATTTGATTATTTATCAGAGATGTATGCTCAGTATTGGAGGTAGAGTTTTTGTAGATGTAGACAGTGTGGACATAGAAATTAACAGTGTGGTGACTGTTAGTTTCATGCCAAAAGACATCAAAAGAAAAAAAAAATAAGACACGAGAAAAACTAGCACTAGCTGAGAACAGAACCTAAAAACCTTTGCCTAGAGGAGAAAATAGCAATAATCATATTTCACAGACATGATAAACTCCAACACAAAAGAGCACATTCTCAAATGCAGACATGAAAACAAATTCCTACTATGTAATCTACAACCATAATGAGATTCTAAAAGCTATATAACATCCTATTACTAAATTCAATAGTCTTTATTTCAAATACCAAAATACTCAAGAAAGTATGCCAAAATAAATAAAAGTAAGATAAATAAATAATAGAGATAATCAAAATAAACAAGTTCGAGTTTAGACTATAATTTTCTTGCTAATAATGTTTACCCTATACAAGGGCCCAAGAGCCACTTAAGGTAAAAAACATTAGTCCTAAATAAAAGAACTTAGAAAGGTCTGTTCCCACTTCTCCCACTTTCCACAGACTTCCAAAAGCCTACATATGGGGCCCATATAAGGAGTAGTGACACATGGTCTGAAGATCACTTGAGGTATGAAATTAACTTCTGAGAGGAGAACTTCTCACTTTTGAGCGAATCATATTCTAACTACCATTTAAAAGTCCTTGAAACAATTTTTATGAAATTAAGACAACCATACTTACGTAAACAAAAGGATTGGCCGTTAGGACTGAATGTGATTTAGAAAAACATACCATTTCCAATATATTATTGATATGTATGTATTCTTTTCTTGTGTTTCCCTCTTTAGTCAGTGTGTTTTTTTACAACTGCCATGAAAATATTTATAGAAAAGGCACAGGGAAGCTACATTTAATTAAATTACCTTTTGTACCTTGAATAAGATCTTTCAAACAAGAATACGAAAATAGTGATTATTCCTTTACCTCTTCTTGACCTCCTTGTCTGTCTTTTACAAAATTACGGATACCGAGTCCAAGGGATGCCAACCAAGCCAGAGTCATCATAATGGGCATGAGGTAAGAACTGAGGATATGTAGATACCTGTTAAAAAGAAAGGTGTTTAATGATTAACTATTCAATAATGACAGATCAGCAAAACATTTTCACCTGTAAATAATGTTTCTAGGACACATGATGATAAAAGAAGCATTTAAGCATTTAACACTTGCAGGAAACATCAAAGAGGAGAATAGCAGGTGACCTATGTATTTTTCCAGTTTTCAAGTAAGACGTACATTGGGATCAAAATTTGAGATAAACTCTAAGTTCCTGCATGTTTCTGTTTTGTTGACCGTCTTATCATCAAGTTTTCTGGATTGCTTTACATACAGCCTTCAAAGCCTTGGAATCAACTATTTATGGTAAATTCAATAAGTACTTAAAAATATTTGCATTTCCTTACAAATTATTCCAATATTCATATTCAGTGGCGGAAAATAATTCTGTCCACAACTCTGTGTGTTTGTGTATGTGTGTGTGTGTATATATATATATATATATATATATATATATATATATCTTTATATATAGACTGTATATATATATATATATATATATATATCTTGTCATCCACAGACAGACTGTTTCGCTATATCACAGCTCCTCAGTGTGGGTAGATGTCCGACTGCTTCAAGCTGTGATCAAAACCCAACTGATTTGACATCAGCCACATATCTTGCCTATAGGCCATCATCAGAAAGGAACGGAATTTTAACATTTTTCTCTATATGGCTTGGAGAACTCAATACATACTTGAAGAGTAATGCTTATATATGTTTAGGCAGCATATCTTCATTCGAACTTGTTTGGTTAAATAATCTGGATATTTTATGTTGATTTATTTTATTTTAATCCTCTTGAATTCTTGGACACATGATGATAAAAGAAGAATTTAAGCATTTAACACTTGCAGGAAACATCAAAGAGTAGAGATACCGAGGAGAAAGGAAGGCACTGTATCTTATTTTCCCAAGTACTTTTAATCTCATTCAAGATCATCTTCAGGGGTGAATTGCTAAGACAAAAAATTAATATAATTGAAAAGCAATTCAAATCTGAAGATGATCTTGGATGAGATTGAAAGTACTTGGGAAAATAAAAGGAATGAAAAAAACTATGGAGCCTTTCTTAATGTGTTTAATGCCAAGATTTAGAAATTCATCTGTGAATATGAAAGGGTTAAAATAAAAATAGACATAATTTTTATATACATTTCATGCTCATATACAAAAAATTCACAACTATCTATTACATTAGTTTTTGTCTTAGCAATTCAAATCTGAAGATGATCTTGGATGAGATTGAAAGTACTTGGGAAAGTAAAAAAAAAAATGAAAAAAACTACAGCACCTTCCTTAGTGAATTTAATACCAACATTAAGAAATTGATCCGAGAATTCAAGAGAATAAAAATAGACATATATCCTGATTATTCAACCAAATGATATATATATATATATATATATATATATAAATGGGTGTCTATATTTTTGAGTTGAGGTATTTTGACTATTTACAGTGCTTGAACAGTTGTTCTTATCTTTATTGTCATATTCACAACATTTTGTATGTTGTATACCCCAGCCCTCATCAGGTGATAGAGTTTTGAGTTCAATCCCTGGCAACAGCAGAGGTGAACAAAAACTTGGAGAGTTGAGTTATAATAGAGAAATAACTGTAACCGAGATATGCAGAAAAGGCATGGCATGTGGAACTAGAACAATCTAGCCTGGTGGACAAAATAAAGTGTTCAAAATTCTCATGTATATCACCTGAAGCAGGCTGGAGCATATTATAGCCGAAACATTGTGAATATGACAATAAAGATGTGGACAATAGTTCAAACAATGTAAATAGTGTAAATATAAAATGGGATATTTTATTCCACTAGCCTATTACTTTAAAACATTGGTTTGTGAATTTGGTGACATCGCAAGTTCAGTTCTTGATCTAGACAGAGTTTTGTACATAGACATGAGGCAAGCAATAACTGTGCAGTACTAAATAAAAACTAGATGAGATATCCCTAGAAATGGTCAACAAAATGAGAACAATTGATCCCTGAAGATTAAATTAAGTTTTCAGTTTGAAATTCTCCGTTGGTTGCTCAGATCAATGAGCACCTGATGAAGGCGGGGAGCACGGTGTTTCTGCTATCACAGCATTTCATTTCAGCTGCTTTTTTTTGACAAGATTCCTGGGTATGACAATAAACTACATCTGGCAGCAAGGCCTCTGATCAGGAGACTGGAGGTTTTGAGGAGTGTGAAACCACCTCTTAAGTGCTGTTGTTGCCAGGTCCATCCTGACCTGGGGTGGTAGCACCTGCTAAGGGTTCCAGTTATAGGAAAATAGTAACCCCCCCAAAAAAAAACCACTATGAAAGTATAAAATCTCATCTTGTTTTTATTTAGTCCTGCTCAGTTATTGCAGACCCTATACTAACAAGCTTGTGAATTTGGTAACATAACTGCCCACTAAGCACAAGTAGACATTGCCCAGCCCAGGGATTGAACTCACAAGATTAAATAAAATAACCTAATCAAGATGAGGTCAATCCCTGTGCTTGGTAGTGCAGACTCAGTGGAAACAGGGTGAGCAATAACTGAGCAGAATTAAATAAAACTAGATGAGATAGCTCTAGAAATAGTCAAGAAAATGGGAACCATCAATCCCTGAAGATTAAATAAAGGGTTCAGTTTGAAATTCCCTGTAGGTTGCTTAGATGAACCAGCATTAAACAATGACCAGAGGGTACAATGGCCGAAATAGCATGATAAAAACAAAAATAGTCCTCAGCGAAATAATGGTAACACATCATTCCAGAAATTCAGACCTAAATTTTTTGGAGATAATTTTTATAGATACGATTCAATAGCCGAGGTGGGGAGAAGAGATGAATTCATACTTTCCCCAAGGGTATTAGCACATAAGTGAATGTAATGAACTCAATTGGAATTTGAACTCGACACTTTCTTTTCTTGTTCCAAGCAAATATTCATTACACCACCTGCACATCCGGGAGATAGAAAGAAAGAAATGTTCACTGAAAAAGAAGAGAAATAAGAAATCTATCATAAAAATGTCAATAACTCACTCATCCTTCATATGACATGGGAAGGGGAATTGTTTTAATGCTATCCCAGGAAGGCTGAATTTCTTGCCACTTGATTCAATGTGTGTTTCAACAATATATATTTCTATATATATAGTTGAATAAAAAAATGGAATTTATATTTCATTTTTTTTTACTTTAAATATCTGTAAGAAAATAGCATATTTATCATTTCCGATTTTACAAGATTTCAAATAAGAAACAAAACATTTCAAACATCAATAAATTATTTTTCTCTGATATTTTCAAGGTTTGGAAAGTTTAAAGAGAGTTTTGTAGACAAAATAAAATTTTGTTTTTAGCATCAATTTACCAAAAACATTTTTTTTACAAAATTGGTTAATAAATTTTTTAAATAAAATATATTTTTTATTCTTATAATTTCTTCTGTTTTTTTTCTCCCTCTTTTTTTAATGTCTATCTTTTTTTTTAAGGAATTTAAATATATTTTTTTATCATTATAGAAACCATTTTTTAAGGAAGTTTTAAGCCATTTTTTTACCTCTTGGCTAATACATTTTTTTTCTAATATACAGACACAACACATTTTTAGGAATGGCTAATATTTTTAGGAATAGTTGATTTTTAAGGAATATATATTTTTTTTCATTGGCTAATACATTTTTAGTGGAAGCCCTAATATTTTTTTACCAATTTTAATACATTTTTTTTATTTTTTTTACCAATTGGCTAATACATTTTTTAAGGAATGGCTAATTTTTTTTTTTACCGATTGGCTAATACATTTTTTAAGGAATGGCTAATATATTTTTTTACCAATTGGCTAATACATTTTTTAAGGAATGGCTAATATATTTTTTAAGGAATGGCTAATATATTTTTTTACCAATTGGCTAATACATTTTTTAAGGAATGGCTAATATATTTTCTTAAAATTGGCTAATTTTAAAAAAAAAAAAAGCATAAGGAATTGGCTACAAAATTTTTTTTGGAATGGAATATATTTTTTTGCCAATGGCTAATACATTTTTATTTATTTTTTATGAATTTGGCTAATACATTTTTTTTACTAATATAGCTGCATTAATACATTTTTAGGAATGGACATCTCATTCATATTTTTTAAATTTTTTAAGGAATGGTAATATTTTTTTTTTTTTTTTTTTTTTAAGGAGGGGGGAATATATTTTTTGCTGATTGGCTAAAATGCTAAACAAAGTTTGTTTTTTATTTTTTTTTTATTTGAAAAATACATTTTTGCGTTTGCTTTAAATGATTTCATAATTGAAAGATATAAAAATTTTTTTTTACTACAAAAAAAAAAATATATTTTTCCAATATAATATATTTTTTTTTTATACAGTTAAATTTTTTTTTTATACATCATTATATTATTTTTGCAGACATTATACTTTTTTTACCAATTGGTTTAAATACATTTTTTTTTTTTTTTTTTTTTTTTTTTTTAAAATGAAATTAATACATTTTTAAGGAATGTGATATATTTCAGGACCAATTGATCATGTTTTTTTTACAAATCCCTGTCCTTTTTTAGCCAAAAAAAAACATTTTTGAGGAATAAAACAGATATTTTTTTACCAATTGGCTAATCACTGTTTTTAAAGGACATGGCCTATAGTATTTTTTCACTGTTTGGAGAAAGAAAAATTTTTAAGGAATGGCTAATACAATAAATTGACTTTAAAAAAAAAAATCAGGTATATATAAACATCAATTAAATGACAAATATATGGCTATAAATTTTTTTTTCAATTCAAAATCTTTAATAATTTTTTAATGTGGAAAAAAAAATTTTTTTTTGATTTTTTTTTTTTTTTATCTCAAATATTGTTTTAAGGATTTTTTAAAATTATATAAAAAAAAAAGATTAAAATGTAAAATTTATTTGCCTAATTAATTTTATTTCAATCATTTTTAAAAAAGGCTAAAAATTTTTTTTTACATTTTTAAAAAAATAATATATTTTTGAAAATCTTTATTTTTTCCAAGAAAAATATTTGTTTGCTGTAAATGACTTATATTTTTAAATGGCTAATAATTTTTTGCATCTAATAATTTTTTAAGGAATTTTTAATATATTTTTTTTTTTTCAAAACAAGAACCCAATATATATTTTTTACCACTAAACAAATAATTTTTCTGTTAGCAATGTTTGTAAATTTTATTCATTTTCTTGTTTGTTTCTTTTTTTACCAATTGCTTAATTTTGCCAAAGAATTATTTTTTTTTTTTTTGAACAAGTTTTTATTCTATTGTCATTTAGCAACCAATTAATAATAGATATTTTTTTATATAAATTTCCAAGTTTTATTTTTTTAACTAGTTAAAAATGCTGTTTTTTTTGTACCAATTAGTTAATACTTTTTTAATTTTACAAACTCTATAGTTTTTATTTTATTAATGGTTGCAGATAAGAATGTAAACTTAGAAATTTTTAATAAGTTCAAATATATATCATTCCTTCAGAGGTAAGACTTTATAACTGAATTAAAAAGAAAACTCTACAGGCATTTACAGACAAGCAGCCAAAGCATTATGTATAGAGAATCCTTGATAAAATATGTTATATAAAATAAGAGTGTGTTATAATGAAGCCATATAATAGTGACATTATAATAGTGGTGGTGAGGGATTTGAAACTCAGATGATTTATAACTGTTGTGTTGAGGATTTTATGACATTTTATGACTTATAACTGTTGTATTGAGGATTTTGGAAACTCATATGAGTTGTAACTGAGTTGTTATTCAGAATTTCAACCATATTGGTTTAAAAAACATTCTTATGAATATGAAGTAAATTTTGGCTGACTGGAAATTTGTAATACAACAACAGAAACAGCATAAACAATAAAATCAACATTTGCTAGAACTACAAAAACAAAAACAAGAGTTGTTGGATATAATTCTGAAGAAAACAAAAAATTCTTAAACATCTCTTATGGCAGATGCTGCCCAAAACACCATAACAGAATTTTTATAAAATCCTGATACGGGACTGACTTTACCTGCATATTTTCATACATATGAACAAATTTTCAGTCAGGAATGCAGTGGCTGGCAAGATGAGACAAAAACGAGAGTGTTGTTGAGGAAAATAGCTCCATTAGAGTATGAAAAATACTATAACTATATATTACTAAGAAAACCAAGTGAAACTGGTTTTGAAGACAATAGTACATATTCTGACAAAAATCTTTTATGACAAGAGCTCTCTGTTCAATGCTCGATGGAAGTGCATGAATCTAACCAAAAAAGAGGACAAAGATTTTGTCACATATGTTGGGAATGTCAACAAAGAATGTGAAAGATTTATAATAAAGGAAATGTCTCCAGATATAGTGGATGATTGCAAGACAATTCTAAGTCTAACCTCATGATATGAAGAAATTCTAAAAAAGAATGCATTGGTACAACTAAAAAGGACAAATGTACAAACTGAAGAATAAATCATTGTTTCAGACTTTTTTTTTAAATTAAATTTGGAAAAGACTGTCCATTTAAAAAGCAGAATGTTACAATGTGGTAAAAAAAGGACATATAAAATCAAACTGCAAAATCAAACCAAGAAAAAATTCTCAAAAGAAGAAATTAGTACACAAAAACAAAAAGGAAGTTTGTGAATGTGAAAATAAATAATGTGTGTGTGTGTGAAAATGCTATTGGACACTAGTAGTGATATTTCAATAATCAGTGAAGCCACATGGAAGGAAATTGGAAAGCCTTTATTAAAAACTAGCAGGCTTCTATTAAATCATTAGGGGTTTTGGCAAGATATATTTTACTTGAAATATTTGACTGTAAAAAATTTTAAATGAACATTTCATTCATAAATTGGCTTGTTATAGTTAAGGAAAGTTTTACAAATAGATGCCAACTTGTTGAAGGCCAAGTAAAATGCAAATTTCAAACACTTTTCTGCATTATATAAGACAATATTCTTAAACAGAACTATTTTTGATATGAAAATCAAAACAATCTTTGAATAAAAGAACACTAATGAAGGACAGTTAATGAAATATACTTTTTTAAAATCAGTATACAAATTAGTTAAACCTGAAGAGTGATATCACCTAGAAGTAGATAATATATCATTGAGATATTGAGCTTTTAGCATATAAATTACTATAAAGTAGAGCTGGGGCTTTTTAATCTCAGAATTCATGGAAGACTTGAGCTCCAATTTCGCATTTATTAATATAGATGCCATAATATAAATGCTGCCTGATCAAGCAGCTTTTAAGCTAGTTTATAATAAAACATGCACTGCAATTTTGGATACAAAAGAAATTAAGAGTTACTCCTCTTGAACCATGGAAGCAACATTAATGGCTAGTATAATATATTAATATATATTTTTAACCCTATTTTTAACCGGAATAACTATGATATTGAAAGAATAATGAAAATTTGTAGAGGTTGTGCTCTAGCTGCAAAACTACCTATCACAAAGATAGAACCTTGACCAAAGACAGACACACTGTGGTCAAGACTGCATATAGATTTTGCAGGTCCTATGGTTGGATTATATTATCTTGTGGTAATGGATTGTTTCACAAAATGGCTAGAAATTTTTAAGTGCAAAAATCCAACAGCCTCAGTAACAGTGAATTTCATGCATGAACTGTTTGTGAGATATGGCATACTGGATACCATAGTCTCTGATAACAGAATACAATTCATGGGTAAAGAATTCAGAAACTCTTGTAAGATGTTCTTCATTTAATATATGACCCTGCTGTATCCCCCAAGGTTGAACAGACAAGCAGAATGGTTTGTAGGAATGTTCAAAAGAGCATTGAAGAAAGCAAGTCTTGAGAAAGTAAATAAGGAAGCACTTCAAAATTTTCTGAGAGTTTACCATGTAACACCTAACCCCAATACACCATCAGGAATATCACCGTCAGAATTAATGTTTGCCAGAAGAGTAAAATCAGTGTTTGACAAGTCAATAAACATGAACGGATAACAAAATTGACACCAAACATTTCAATATTGGTGATAAAGTGTTCTTTAGAGTATACAAGGATGGCAAAGAAACAAGGGAAGATGTCATTATATCAGCAAGAATCAGAAAGCTGATTTATATGGTAAAGGGAAAAAATTTGAATATAAAAGGCTCCATAATCAGCTGAAACAAAAGTTAAATTAATGAAAGACCTGAAACATTGGAAGGACCGATAAAAATTCTAAATGATGTTTTTGATGTGCCAGCACCACAACAAGTCGTGGAACATACAAGGACAAGGTCAAGAAAAGGAGAGCATACTGAAGAACTGGAAGTGGATCCAACACAGAAACCCTACAAAGCCAAGTATGTTGATGAACTCTCCAGAAAGAGAAAGGGGGAAGATACTAATACTTATAAAAAATAAAATATTTATAAAAATATTAAGGGAGGATGTTGTGGAGTAAATACTACACACCTGGTGACTACATGAACTAGTCCATTACTATAAGAGCTCCAGGTCATAGATAAGACTAGTAGCCGTTTGGAGTCAGTCATCAGAATAAATATTCAGGTATCATGGCAAACAGTTGAGGCTTTATGTATAGAGAATTGTTATATGTTATATAAAGTAAGAGTCTCTTATAACAATAGCCATATAATTGTGGCATTATGATATTAACATTTTTTTTACTATAATGTATCATTGAACTATACTTATAAGTGGTGGTCCTTTTGGGAAAGAATGCAGTAGGCATATTGTAAGCTGCCTTGACAACAGGGGTCTTGAAGAATTATTTTTAAGGTATATTCCAAGATTTTATGTAACCATACAAACTCTGAGGACACTTTAAGTTGGGCTCTCTAGCCTAGGGTAGCAGCCAGTCGAAAAGAAGGACTGTTCTGAACCTAAAATGGTGGAGAAATCAATGTGAAATTACTCTCCCATATTTCTCAAAAAGTCATAACGCATTGCAGGTATTAGAACAGAAAAAGGAATGTATGGATAGCCACGAATGTTTACATTCTGAAAGGACATGACATTTATAAAAATGTTCATTTAATCTTTCTATATTATTTTTAACCCAAACCTTAAATTTTTTTTTTTAAATCTTACCTTTCCTTTATCCTGCCAGTGAAAGGTATGTTGTCGACATCCATACGTATTTTATATTGAATGTGTTTAGGTAGTTTAACAATGGTGTCTCTTTTCTCTCTAGAGTTTTTAACCTCTTCTGGCATATCTTTGAATATCACAGCTGAAAAGAAAAGAAAAATATTTCAAGTATTGTATTTAGCTTGGAAAAGATGAATTATAACCATTATATCATTAGATTGAATTTTTAAATATCTATTCACAGTCATAATATGTCATTGTTTAAAAAAAAAAAAAAAGCAGTTACCTTGAGCACCTATTGGTAGTTAAGCTCAATCCAAATCTCAAGCAGGACTCGTATATATGATCCATTGCTAATGATACCGGAAAAATGGTCAGTTCCGTGTACCACTCCAATAAGTACCTAGCCTTTTCTACTTTTCCCAGAGCCAGATCAGGCCAAAAATGGAGTACTGTTGCCATATCTGTGCTGTAGCCACCCAATCATCTCTTTCTAGTCTTCATAGTCAAGAAACGTCTATATGGCCTTGTGAGTGATGAATTATTTTCCATCTTACAACCCCTTTCCCACAGAAAATGTTGCAGGCCTCTTGTTGCTCTGTCAGTATTTCCATGGAAGATGTTTAGATCAACTACATTCTTTACTTCCACAAGTTCTAACATCCTCTGCTAAAACCCTCCATGCCACACACACATTGAAGCAAAAGACCCTCATTTTCTTTGTATTCCATTGGTGAGGTGTACGTTCCACCTAAACAGGTTCTTCCCATGAACTGCTACTTTGTGGAACTGACTCCCAAGAGGATGCTTCTCTGTTCACTACAATCTTAATCTGTTCAAGTCACTATAGAGCTGGCAGGAGGAGTCAGGTTCTTTCAGGAGGGGTTCAAAGAACTGACCATTTTCCAATCATAGCTGAAGAAGTATTTACAAAACTTTCTTCATACATACATTATTTGAAGTGAAAGCTTCATGATTATTTTCAGATGGTTGTTAGAGATTCAAGATTTTAAAACAAATCCCAGAACTATGAAAAATGGTTTGAAAGTAATTGCTTGGATCAATATTTGAACATATCTGTGGAGCTGAACAATATTGTAGGATTATCCCACCTTGTCTACAAGGAACTTCTCTTAACGCTTGATGGGTGGCATTGTGTAAAGCAACATAAAAAGACACAAACACTTTTTCTCTCTTTTTTTTTTTTTTTCTCTTTACCCACTGGAATATTCATTCATGCAAAGTATGTTTTTGGCAAATTAGACCTGGCGGAGTGAGGTATTTTTTGAGAAGTAAAGGGTGGGATGACCATTTTTCCAGCATTGTTAGCAGTGCATCATATATAAGAATTCTATAATTTTAATATAATTAATAATAGCACAGGAATAAAGAAATGAATTTGTTTATCACCTGCTAAAAATTCATTCCTCTTGCTTAGATCAAAGGCCCTTTTCTCAAGTTGGCTTGAACTGACTGCAACAAACCTGCTGCTGGACATGCAGGATGTATAGTTGATAACGTTGACAATCAGGTATTGGAGTTTGGACAAAGTGCTATTGTTGAGCTGGTCAAGCATTTTCATGCTGGACATAATGCTATCTGAGTTGACATCAAACATGTCCTTCATCAGGTCTTGTACAAATGGTGTCTTCAGGTATTTCTGTCAACAGAACAATTATTGGTAAAAAAAAGAGAAAAGACAAAGGATTCATTCTGATTCATTGTGCATCTTTTACATGAAAGTATACAAAAAATTATTATTTGGTCAGCACAAATGAAATATTTTGACCCATTAAATTACTAAATGTTTTGACCCAGTAATATCAATCCTCCTATATGGCAGTGAATACTGGATAATTTCCTCATAGATGAAGAGACTTGAAGCAAGAGAAACAAAGAAAAGAGTAATGAACTGTTATGTAATATCAGTCCTCCTATATGGCTGTGAATACTGGACAATCTCCTCACAGATGAAAAAAGAGACTTGAAGTAACAGAAATGTGATTCTACAGAAGGATGCTGAGAATACCATAGACTGAACATGTGAACAATGACATAGTTTTAGCAAAAATAGAAGCAAAATGTTTACTTAGAATCAGAAAGTGACAATTGAAATATTTGTGTCATGTAATGAGAAACGATGACTTGGACAAAAGAAAAAAAGCTTCATTTACCTGTCCACAAAATTATTGTAAACTAATCACTAACCAGTATGTCTTCACTTTCAATAATAAACTCTATGGAGGTCACTTATCAGTGATGTTCTTGCTAGGCCTTTTTCAAGAATTTTTAGAATCTGGTTCATTTAATCACATCATACCTGAAAGCTCTACTTACCTAAGATATATAGATGATGTTCTTTTATTATATATCCCCATGATATAAATCTATTAGCCATAATAATGGAACTCAATAAGGTTGACTCTACCATTGAATTTACACATGACTTTGAAAGAAGCAATTCTCTCCCTTTTCTTTGACATCTTATTAATATGTAACAAGAAATTAGATTTTAGAGTTTATTGTAAAGCCACTTATAAAAATGATCCAATTAATTTCTATTCACAACCCAATCAAAGAACAAAATCAGGATTAATCATAGAATTCTACCTTAGAGCCTTTAGGATATGTGGCTCTGAATATCTAAAGGAAGACACATTAAGAAAACATTTAAATTTCTTTACTACCCATGTCATATCTTCAATGCTAAAAAAACAAGCTTACAAAAACTACAAAACTCAATAACACCTCTTTCTGCTTGTAGAAAAATTACTTATCCCTAATATTAGGATCTTTATCACCATGTCCAAGATAATCAGGGATATAATTAGGAAGAAAAATAAACTCAACACTAATTCAAATGCAGGTATTTATCAAATAAATTGTTTACAATGCAAAAATGTTTATGAAAGGGAGACATCACGTGATCTAAAATCCTGCATCTATGAACACAAAAGAGATTTGCACTTAGAGAATTCTTCAAACTCTCTTGTATTACACAAGAACAAAACTGGCCATAATTGATTTTATTTATGACATTCTAATGAAAAAAGAACATAATGCTTAAAAAAATTAAATGCAATGTCAATCATTATCCTCTGTCTTCTTGATTCCTGTTCTTTTATTGTTCTCTCTCCTTCATAGTGTTTTTCTTTTTCTCATATTCTTTCATGCTCAGTAATTCCTTGTGCATTAGTAACTTTATATGAATGGCTGGGCGAATAAGTAGGGATGGTAAAGAGTAAAAGAATACTTAGGGCAATAAAAACAGGAAGGTATGGAGAGCCATGATCATCGATACATAAAGGAAATATTATTTGAAAGTATAATAGAATTCTGGGTAAATAATTTCCAATGAAAGAAAAATCAAATTACTGTATATTTCTGTGTAAGGTGACCTTTATCTAAGACAAGATAAAAAAATATAGTAAATTTTCAAGAATTTATTCTATACCTGTAGTATAAGATGACTGCTTATTGATTATATAAGAATGATTTTATTAGAAATGTTCTATACTGTATCCTTAGAAATTCAAAATAAAAAAAAACAATTCTATATCAAGTTATCTCTACACACATCCCCTAAAAGGAAAACCATTGTTTTGTTTACATTTCATCATGTGATCTCTTGCGTAGACTGATTCTTCTTCTTCTTTTCCGATATCTAAACAGTTACAAACAGCCTGGTGTACTAATAGCCATTTACTTATACTTCATTAACAATCACAAAATACTGCTAATAACAGTATGATAATAGTACATTCCACTTTTAGCATTTTTTTTTTTATTCAGTCTGTTCGTAACTAGTATCTCAACCAGTCAGATACTGATGGTTGCAAGGAATTTGATGGGTTTTGATTTACATGTAGCAAGATTGTTTTATTAATATTGATAATGATGGGAAATAAATAGTTTTATAATATCCTAGAAGTTTTAAATGCAACTACCATAAAAGGATTTTTATTTAAAAAATAAAGGTTGTATATAATCATAAATTGTGTTGTGGTTTAACACCAAAATGATAATTAATTATTAATGAGAAATGAATATGATGTTCTCCTAAATGTTATTACTGCCATAATTAACACTATGATGATGATTATTAAAAGTTTAGCGAAAGATAAAGGTTGCTGTAAATGTAATCATAAGTCAATGTTTATATTCCTCAGCTGATCTTGCAAGGATACATGTTGATTTAAAGGAAATGGAATTATTCTCTGAATAGGCAATTAATTATGAAGTTATGCTAGTAATATATCAGGTAGAAATGGTTTTATTACTTTTACTATCAGTTTATTTGATAATGTGAATCTTTTCATGTATGTTATTTGTTGTTATACCAAGGCTGAGGTTATTACTAACAAACATTCAGAATTTAGGGATTCTTTTTTAGAATTGTAGTATAAGATGACCCCCAATTTTGAAGGGTGACTTAAAGGTCGTCTTATATGTGAAAATATACAGTATATTGAAAAGGTCAATAAAATCTCAAAAGCTTATTCTTTACTTACAAACAAGTCTGTCATATTGTTTATTTTGTCTTTCATATTCGAGACACCAATTATGCCTTCCTTCCATTGAGCTCCAATTTCCTGCAGTTTGCTGACAATTTGAAACACTTTGTCAACCTAAATGTAAAAAATGAAAATTATTACCGTTATGGAAAACGATCTGATTGTTATTATTCATTAGACTTTCTTCAGGCTATGACACTTGACAGAATTGAAAAACAGTGATTTTTTTTTTATCATTTTAGAAAGGGGTCCTTTTCACTGATACCTGGCTTCTTATAAAGTTAGCGGTACTTTGTTTTTATTTACAAATGTCAAGTTTGAAACTATGCCCATGTCATTGATAAATGCCTACAAATGACATTATCCTTTTCCCAATTCATGGGATATATATATATATATATATATATATACACACACACATGAATGTAATGAGAACGAAAATAATATAAATTCTAACATTCACAGCATTAATTAAAAAGAGGGCTCAATATCAAGAGTAGAGCAATAATTATTTATTATAATTTTTACATACAGACAAAACAACTTACTCACTACAAAGATGTATTTTTGTTTCGATGTGCATGCATCTCAACTTGTAAGAACCAGTTGGGATGCATGCACATTGAAACAAGAATACATCTTTGTAGTGAGTAAGTTGTTTTGTCAGTATGTAAAAATTATAATATATATACACGCACACACGAGGAAGCGATGCTGAATAGTTATTGGCCAGATTAAGAGTTTGTCAAAAACCTTATGCACACTTCAGATGAATATACAAGGTGGCTGCTGAAAAGTTCTGTCTAGTTCACTTTACAAAACATCAGATCTTTAGGGGAACAGTTTTGGGGTATGGACGAGAATTTTTCAGCACACCCGTATACTTATTTTTCAATATAGTTTCTTTTTTGTTGTTCATATAGTTAATCTTATGCTTCTCCATTAATCATGTTGATTAAACATTATACAAGGACAATTTCAGATTCAAATTCAGTTAATATGTGTCATGGAGATATTGATCCACACTCAACATTACTTATATTAAGTGTCACTTAAGGTTGAAAAGTACTCAGCCTGACTAAGCTCTTTTGAAAAAAATACTATGTTTCTCATCAGATTTTGGGAAGTTGATCAAGCCAATAACTTTCCAGCACCTTTTCATAGTGTTATATAATCTATAGATAAACAAGATTTTACAAGAATACAGAATACTCAGTGCTTAAACCACAGACACTGAGATCTGAATTTCCAAAGTCAAATATCAGGAGTTACATCAGCCATATTTATGAGAGTGCATTAATAAATTATTTCTCATCATATAATTTTTGATCAATGCATTCACTGCTGAACTAAGAGCCTTGATAAAGAAAGAGATTATGTTGAAAAATAACTGTATAATAAATGCTTTTATCGTTAGGCTTATTGACATACCTGTATTATGCAGGTTAAGATAAGGTGTTTAAAGTACTTGTTTAAGTAGAAAGACAAGGACTTGATAAGTCATTACTTTATTTAATCTGTCCAAACCAGGCCAAAGCAAAAGTTACAAGAATAAAATATTCAACAAAAAAAAAAAAAAAAAAAAAAAAAAAAACAAAAAAACAAAATGCCTGCAATAAAATGTTGTGTCAATAGGTCAGCTTTTCTCATGACACCATTTTTTTATAACTATCTTCACACTTCGGCAATGCTTATTGTTTTAAAAAGTGATGATTAGATGTGTAATAAAACTAAAACATATGATGAAAGTGAATGTTTACAATTTTTTGTTCTTGAGAATTTACACTGAAAATATTAAACATTATTTATTTATTAGATTGTTTATTTACAAGAATAATGTTATATTTACAACATTGTAAAAATTAATTAGAACTCTTGCAATAAAGTTGTTATGATTGATGATATTTTATCATCGTGGAAATAAAGATCTGAAATTTTGCCTCGAAATAAAAAATTTCCACCACAAGCAAGGGTATCAATAGTAAAAAAGAACAACACAGACGTATCTTCTTCGCTCTGTGAAAATCCAGAGTTGATGGTCTCAAAAACTTCCCTTAACCCCAAAATTCTTGAAACAATTATAAACAGATAAGCCCAAATTTTAAAGAAACAAAAAGAGACAATAACCCTGAGAACATTTAACACACATAAAACCAATATTGTAATTAACATTACGAAAAGAAAAATACACTTTCTTGTCATTAATTTTAACATGTGTCTCAGGGTCTTATTATTGTTGTTGTTGTTGTTGTTATGGTTGTATGTTTTATTCATTTCATTTTCAATATATCAAATATTAATTAATTAATACATATAACAATGTGGTAACTTATAAAACAACTCAACAGAAACCACATAACACAATATTTATCATTTACCAGTTTATAAAGAAATTAAAGTGAAAAAAATTCTTCATTCATAAATTTATAAACATTTACTAAGTTATTAAAATATATAACCCAACTCTAAGGAAATTATTATTATTTACCATTTTATAAAGTTTGAATCGATCGGCAATTAGTTGATTAGACAACCATTTCAATAAATAATTTAATAAATAATGTAAATAAACAATCTGATAAATAAATAGTGTTTATTATATTTGTTGTGAATTCTCATGAACAAAGAAAATGTATAAATTCACTTTCATCATATTTTTAGGTTTTATTCCAATTCTAATCATCACTTTTTAAAACAATAAATGTTGCTGAAGATTTGAAGTAAGTTAAAAATTGATGTCATGGGGATTGTGAGGGAGAATATTTCTGTGGCGGACATGAGACAGAACCTGGGACGAGCACAACTGGTCGCGACCAGACCTCTGCATTCTGTTTGACCTCTCCTGACGTCCTTTTGTGTACAATTCTTTGCCATATGGTTGGGTCCAGAGCATTTTGTAGCAGGTAATCGTTCTGCTAACAGGTTTGGCATTAAAACCTCAGCTTCTGAGCGTTAGCTCTACGGATAAATTTTTCAATACCTGGCATATTCGTCATCCATCATAATAGCCATTAATTCGGGTCAGAATGAAGTTCTAGATTCATGTCGTCCATCCTGGAAGAAGCTTTGAGAAGTTATTTAACATGATGTGGCAGTCCTGACACATTTGCACATTGCCATCCACCAATCAGGTAGCAATTTTTCCTACTATCTGCGCCAAACGATGCATTTCAGCCAGGAATTCATCCACAGTTTCATGGAATGAAAATTAAATCTGTCAGTTCGCGTATGCAGTCATAAAGGCCCGTTTAATTTTGTTCCGTCTGCCTCTGCTCTCCACTGAGTTGTCTATACAGCAAGGGCACCGCCTCGAAGTCGTAAAGGCAAGAAAATTCGATCTTGTCCATGGCACAAAAATGCAGACCAATTCCACATTTTCTATCCATTCAACAATGGGCATATCCGTTGGGGTTATCTGAATTCTGGAATCAAACGGACGTCAAAGATCTTGCCTTTTTTTTTGAAGAATCAATATGTTTAAAATAGCTTGAGGCGAATGAAGAAAAAATAACCAGCGAGTAAATTCAATTTCCAGCTGGTATTTCAAACTTGAGTCGTTCCTTCTTGAGTTCTTCAAGGGACATTCACGGTTGACGGCAAGAACGGGCAGTTAGTGTGATTTGGAGACAGAACTCAAGAAGGAACGACTCAAGTTTGAAATACCAGCTGGGAGAGCTTGAATTTACTCGCTGGTTACTGTTTTCTTCATTCGGCTCAATTTCCCCTACAAGTTTGGATTTGACTGTTGGACAAAAGACAAAAAAAAAGACTCCTACATCAAGAGGAGTATGTTTATATCCTTTTGTTGAAAACACTCATTCACGGATAAACATTCTCTCCTAGTTTAGTTTCTATTCTACATTATATTTCCCTGGACCAAAAGTTAATAAACTTGTTAAACCAATTCCGGTTTTCTACTGTTGTTTTTGATAACTCAGTTACCACAATGGGAAAAACCATCCTTTTGGTATTCTGTCTTATTGTAGGTACATTTATCTATGTTTCCCAATTCTTTTCCTGTATATTGCAGACTATTGTCATAATAAGTGAAATATCTCTCAATTGAAAATGTGTCTAAATTTAATTGATTGCTACTTGACCCACCGAAAAAAATCCACAAATTTAAATCTTTATTAAATAATGTCTTAGTTTGGTGAATATAATGTGAACATCTTTATTATATAATTTTTTTTAACTACCGAACTATAAGGAAATCATTATTTAATATTTTATTAAGTAATTAGCTAATGTTTTGCCAACCATTCCAATAAACAATCTAATAAATAAATAGTGTTTATTATTTTTGTTGTCAATTCTCAAGACAAAGAAAATGTATAAATTCACTTTCATATTAAACACAATAAATATTGCCAAAGAGTGAAGGTAGTTAAAAAAAAAAGTGATGTCATGGGAAAAATCATTCTTATTGTGGGTATGAAGGGTCTATGTTTTCTGAAAATTCATACACCCACTCGAGCAGAAATTGGTTAAGTTTAGGGTGAAAAAGTTGAAAGCAGTATTTAAAAAAATAACGGGACATAAGTCTTAGACTATGACAAACAAATGTACTCCAAAGAAATTTCTATAAGCTAGCTGCAGCAAAAAGAAAATTTTTATTTGAGCACCTCAGTATGGTGTAATGAACAAACTATCTAGGTTGAAAATTACTGCTTAGTAGTGAGTTTAATCCTTACTGGGTGCCCAATACTTGTGACATTGCATCAAACTAACCTTAGCTAATTAAATCATTTCTGGGCATATTATTGTGGTGTAATAGTTAACGAGCTAGTCAAGTTGATCATTAGTATTCAGTAGTGAGATTGATTGACTAATTTGTTTTTTATGGCTTATCTACCCTTTTCAGGTTATTTAAAACCAGAAAATATTTTTAGATTCTAAGATTTTTTTTTTTTTTTATTACTAAACAATTATTATGTTTAGTAATAAAAGTTTTACTAATTAACCCATGGAGGGAAGATGGGGTAAATTCATACCAAATAAGAATTTGATAAACAAGCAAGAAATTATGTGTATATAAAGTGGAAGATCAATTCTATATTACAATCAGTATATAAACTGATCCTTCACTTTGTGACCTTGATAGTTTCTGTATATTTATTAGTGGTTTAGTGATATAAGTTTTACTAATTAACCCATAGCTGGTGGGAGAAAAGGTGGATTCATACCTTTCCCAAGGGTATTTGTGTGTAAGTGAATATACCAAACCCAACAGGGATTGGAAATTGGATCTCTGATTAACAATTCCAAGTCATTATCCATTAAACCACCTGTACATCAGAGCTTACAGCAGCTGGTATTCGCAAGCAGCCATCCATCTAGATACTAATCAAGCTTGACATTGCTTAACTTTGATGATCATATGGGAACTCTTGTTTCAATATGATGTGGCTGTAAGGTTGAGTTGTGAGATTTTTTAGACAGACAGTATCAAATGAAAGAAACCAAGTAAAGCAATCACCAAAAATCCAGTTACCATAAATAAAATAACATTGTCTGATGAGTTATTTTAAAATAATTAAGAAAAATGTTTGTAAGATGGGGATTTGGCTAGTGTGGATAACAGAAACAAAAATGTTTTAAAAAGGGCATAAAATAAATATAGATATAAATATACAAGTAGAATAAAATGTATTTTTTATACTGTTTCCATTACCTTGTTAGTAATGTGTCGGGTGACTTCGTTATCCGGAGTGAAAAGAATCTTGCCTCTCACAAGTGGTTTCACGAATTTCCATAAAATTTCTCCAGTCTGAGTCTTTATGATATCTTTATAAAGATGTTTGCAAAACACATCTGAAATTTTTACAAAATAGAAAAATTGTTTTAAAATGAAAAAATATTCAATAAAGTAAATGTTTATATTCTTAGTGTGTCAAAAAAATCTGAAAATAAAGAAAAAAAAAAAAAAATCAACTATTGGGTTGTTAGATAAATGTGTTCTTTTTTTCAATGTTTTTTGAGTTAACACACAAAATATTTTTACCATAGGGTAGGGGGTTCTTTAGCAGGGTGAATTTAAGTTTTTTTTTGTTGTTATTGAGGCTGAGATTGCATAAGGCAAAAAAATTTACCAGTCTAGACACTCATGTTTTTTTTTTATCAAGATTCCATCTCTAGAAAGGTTGTCATTCAAGGCTCAAGACCCCCATGTGAGGGTTAGAATAGTCATTTTTTAAGAATGAAACCCGGGTTCAAATCTGACTATAGATGATTTATCAATATTATAAGCATGAGGAGGCAATCTCAGTGTGCAGTACATTTGGAAAGTCTCTGAAAATCATACGATGCATTGACCCAAGCCATGTGTATGAAATTCGATAGTTTGATCTGTTTGGAAGCCATTAATAGTTGTGCTAGCACATAGTCACAAGTCATCATGACTGAGGGTTTGAGCAGATTGATCTTGCTCAGACTATTGACCATATCAGTTAATGTGATCTTTCCAAGAGAATCTAAGATCAACTCAGCACAGTTGCAATATAAACCACAGGTAGTCTCAAATGTGCCTGAGAAGGCGTCTGCAACAAGTAGTGGCTAGCTGCCCTAGTAGACAGGTATACTAGGATACAAGTGGCCAGCCTTCACATGCATTATATATATATTTATTGTATTATATTAATATTATTATTGGGTTTCAGTCCAGACTTAAGGCATTCGGTTGTCTAGTCGCACAGAAGAGCTGTGATACAGCGAAACAGTACTGTCTGCGAATGACATGATTTAGCTCTTGAAAATATATTTTCAATTGAGCACTGTTGAATGATAAACTAATTCTAAAAATAACAACTACCTGCGTTAATGCGAAGCTCTTTAGTAAAATTAATGGAGCACTTCGGTTGTTTGGCATTAGTTACATCTGTAAAAACAATACTTGGCTGACTCATTGTGTCGAGTGAAAATAGCTCAGTGACACCAAATTGGTTGGGTTTCAATCTGGGCTTGAGGCATTTGGAAGACTAGTTGCAGTGAAGAGCTGTGATACAGCGAAACAGTATGGTCTACAAATGATATATATGTAAGCAAATATATGGAATTAGATCCGACAGTATGAGGAAAAATATATACGGAAAAAACAAACAAAAATCCTTATATACAATTATGCTGTTTTAATGTTAATATGTCAATGTCTGACGTTTCGGTCTAATAAACCATCTTCAGGACATATTCATAAATATAACATTATCAATACAACATGACAAAGACGATGTACATAAGAACAAGACTTATCCAAACAAATAACTGAAAGTTTTATAATATCAGCGCTCCGTTTAAAACATGGTCACGTTGTCGTCACATGGGCAACGCTGTGAAAACGTATTCCTAAAATTTTGTCATGTTGTATTGATAATGTTATATTTATGAATATGTCCTGAAGATGGTTTATTAGACCGAAACGTCAGACATTGACATATTAACATTAAAACAGCATAATTGTATATAAGGATTTTTGTTTGTTTTTTCCGTATATATTTTTCTTCAAATGATATATATATATAAATAAATATACATAATATCTTCCACTTAAAGTATGACCGAGTTTCATGTTCATTACAATCATCAGGTACTTATAATGGTACTTATACAAGGCCATTATAGGTACCATTAGTCATACTTTCATGTGTAAAGTAATATTTATTAATATATACATTATAGCTCTGTATTACCACATTGAGCACTGTTAACACCAAAAATTAAATAAAAAATTAATTTGCAAATTTATATATGTGTATGATCGTACACATGTATGGTTGCTTGTATCTAGATTTATTTATTGAATTTATACACATACACACACATATATATATTACACAACAAAATTCCCAAATTACCTCATATTACCCCCTATTTCCCAATATGAGGTAATTTTGGATTTTGTTGCATAATTTATAGGCTCTGTTATGATAAATACATTGATCTCTATTTGTGGATCAGTTTTGATAATTGATATTGCTAGGATCCACTTGGATTATATTAATATTTTTTCAAAAATTATATCAATATATTTTCAAAAATAACTCACTCAGAAGGAAAGTTCTGGAGAGTGCCGCCATAGAACAATACCCAAATATTAATCTATGCCCAGGTTTTTTCCCCGTTTCACCTTTCTTAACAAAATTACTGCTCTCACAAACAAATGTACACAACAGATTCATAAAATCAAAAGAAAATGGTTGAATACATCAACACAGATACAATGACAATATTCTCCACACGTGACAAATACTGACGTTATTTTCAGTTAACAATATGAAAATAGCATTTCTCTATATTCCAGTTGCTAGTAACATTCTGTTTTTGTTTTTATTAGTTACCTTGTTAAATTATATTCATTTCATATTTTGCTTTGATAAAGTCCACATTGGATGAAACACATCAGCAATTGCTAGTTTTCCTATTGTCATATATATATATATATATATATATATATATATATATATATATGGTGTATATTTTGACAGCATGTTTTCATTGAATAATTTAGACAAGTTTTGTCTACTTATTTTCAATTGAATTTTTTCATATTCATGGACAAACCTTTTGTTGTCATTATTAAAGGAAGAAAGAAAATTTCCATATTGATACATATTATTTATTCTGAGTATCAACACAGTAATTTTCTCTTTATTTAATAATGACACCAAAAGGCTTGTCTGGGAATGAAAAAGATCCAATTGAAAATAAATAGGAAAAATTTGTCTAAATTATTCAATGAAGCATTGATTTCTTTCTTTCTCTCTCTCATATATATATATATATATATATATATGATAATGATATATAATTTTTTATATATGAAAAATTTTAGGGGAAAGATGTCTGACAAAATGCAAAAGTTTTTGTGTGACACATTTTGTCTTTTAGGACTTCATTGAATTAAGTTTGCTACTCCAATATCCTAACTATTTCATATTCAATGAAAAACAAAAGGCTCATTAAAATATTCCAAAATAGAAAAGCTGTCCTTCCTGATAAACTAAACAAGAACAAATCAAAAAATATATTGTTCTACCCAGTAATTCTATCAGAACTACAATTGAAAAGAATTTATCTAAACATAAAACTTATCCCAACTACATCTAAAACAATAAAGAAAATTAATCAATACAAAAATAACAATAAGGTAAAACTTGGAGGAGGAATTTACTATCACCTGTAATGATTGCCACAAAAATACATCAGAGAAACCTCAGGAAATTTAAATAAAATATTATATGAAAACAAAAGGGATATTTTACAAAACAACACCTTAAACACATTGGTTGCTCACCATAATGAGAATGACTACAATTTTGACATCAACAATGCTACTCTAATTAAAAGAGAAAACAATTCACTAAGACAAAAATGTCTAGAAAAAGGTTTAATTGCTCATTCATCTTCAGTAAATTTTGTCCTGGTTTTTACAACTTTCACAGTCATTATCCAGAACCGATGTGATATCTGTATTGTAGTTAGAAAGCCTTTGTCTGCATTCTGGTATTATTTGAGAAGGTTGACGTTCTTTAGACATTCTTCTGTTGTACTTTTGCCTTTCATAAAGCATACAGATCATCTAGTTACCTTATTGACAATAGCCAAGATCACAGGGTTCACAAGACCATGTCATAGTTAGCCTTTTCTATGGCTGTGTATGGGCTTTACCAGGGATACATAAAGTTCTGATTTCAGAGTTGCCCTTCTCCTAGATGGATTGCCAACTATTCTCACTATGCTACCACTATTTTCAGATTAAATTCCTTCATTTCACCAGTTTTAACCTTCACAGCTATGATATGCCCTGCCATGTACATAGGGGCTAACCATCTCCATTCCCTTTTGTATTCCATTAGTAAGAAAGAAGTTCCACTGGGGCAGCTTCTTCCCAAGAACCACTACTTTGTGTAAAAGAATCCTAAGATGTTTTTCCAAAACCTACAATCTTAATCTCTTGATTGATTTGTTCTTTATAGCTTATCAACCATTTTCAGGTTATTATTTTTCCATGCCTACAATCTTGAAGTCTAAAATTATCTATTATCTTTCCGACATATCCTCATTAACTACAGTTCTGACCTTCCCTTATGCTCATGCAACAAACTCATTCAGTAACAATCTACCTTGAGTGGCTCATGGGCCTTGAATTGCATGACAATGAATGCAAAGAACTTGACAAAAATTTGCTGATTTATTACTATCATTCTGAGTTGCTAACAATTATAGATTATCTACCCATATTTTTTTTCATCTGAAGCAAGGCAGTAAAGCCACTAAGACACAAGAGGTTACTGAGTTAAAGAATAAGAAATAAGTGAAACATTATTACAATTAACATTGCATTTAAATTTTTGAAGATCAAAGTTGGCTGGAAAGCAAGAAGCCAGAAGAGAGTTCCACAGGCGAGAAGTGCAAGAAAAAAATGTTAGTATAGAATTGTAGCTAGCCAATTCATCTGTAAATAAATGAGACCTAGCTGCCTATCTAGTACTGTACTCAAATTCATAAAGTCTTAAGTACCATAGCATAAAGTTAATCAGAACTATTGCCATGAAAATTTACATTATTTGGACTGCTATCCTCATCTACCCATATTGCATTCATTTCTAGGCTTGGCTGGCTCAAGAGATTTTTGTGGCTTAGCATATATGAAGATATGGGAACCAGTAATAAGGAGTGATGGAGAAAAGCAATGAATAACAACAAAAATTGCAATACAAGCTCTGGTAAAAAACGATTTAATAATAATAAAAAAATTGCAATATGAGCTCTGGTAAAAAACGATTTAATAATAATAATAAAAAAATTGCAATATGAGCTCCTAAAAAAAATGATTTAATAATAATAATAAAAAAATTGCAATATGAGCTCTGGTAAAAAACGATTTAATAATAATAAAAAAATTGCAATATGATCTCTGGTAAAAAACAATTTAATAATAATAATAAAAAAATTGCAATATGAGCTCTGGTAAAAAACGATTTAATAATAATAATAATAAAAAAAATAATCTTTAAATTCCAATGAGATTTAATAATAATAATAAAAAACGATTTAATAATAATAATAAAAAAATTGCAATATGAGCTCTGGTAAAAAACGATTTAATAATAATAATAAAAAAATTGCAATATGAGCTCTGGTAAAAAACGATTTAATAATAATAAAAAAATTGCAATATGAGCTCTGGTTACAAATTGGTGCCGAGACATTAGGTTTATAAATCCCAGAAATTCATACGCAGATGTCCTCAAGGACGCATGGGCCAGTGGATAAAGATATTGGTTAGATCCAGTGACTAGACCCAAAAAGTTGTCAGTTCAATACGAAAAGCTTGGAGAGTTGAGTTAAAGGGAAGTAACTGAGACACCCAGAAGAGGCATGGCACATGGAATTAGAACAATCTATCCCAGTGGACGAAATAAAGACTTTGGTTTGAAATTCCAATCACCTGAAGAAGGTCAAAGCATACAACAGTCAACATGTTGTGAGGATAACAGTCCAAATGATGTAAATAATGCAAGTCATCATTAATACCTCATCTCAGAGATATAGACAGGCACCATGAAAGTATTTATAGAAAAGGCACAGGGAAGCGACATTATGATGGTGGGAAAATGACTGAAGCCAAAATGCTAAGTCAGAAACATTTTTGAGTATGAAATCAGAAAAAATAAGATAAAGATAAATGAGTGAAAAAATTTTTGCTTACTTGGAAGAGAATTCATTTCTTGACGCTGCAGATGTGTAAGTCCATCTTCGCCCTTGATTTCATTCCTGGGACTTACTGATAATAACTTATTTTGATTTTTGAAAAGTAATGATACATTACGTCCGCACATTACTGGCACCAATTGTGAAAATGCATTATAGTCCCCTGTATATGAAAGAAGGAAACAGTTTTTAGTCCAAATAAATATAAATAAATGTGCATATACCTATATAATATACTATACATATATACCTACGGATGGCAAATGAACCACAAGTGGTTCATTTGCCATCCATACCTGAAGACTTGGGAAGCCATGAAACTAAGTTGCACTACAAACGTAGGTATATAAAAGTTTTTTATGGTACAAAATTTAATAAGAGCTAGGAAAAAGCAAAATTTATATGGCATTTTTTAAAAAAGCTAAAAAAGAACAACTGGTTTCGTCGAAGGACTTATCAAGTTTATTTTTCTGGGATGTAAAAAAAATATTAGTCTGTAAAATAAATTAATATAGCGAATAAAATGGGAGGGGGGAAAGAAAAAAAGAAAAAAAAAGAAAGAATTTCAAGAAACTAGAGTTCAATAACATTCCGACCCAGTAAGCATTCCTTCTGTTTACAAAGGGAAGTCCTATGGGATCTGATATACAAGGACTCTAGAACCTTGAGGTGATATGCGGAGTGGGACCTAGATAAAATTGAAAAACGGTCTGCACTAAAATCAAACACACAATTCCTGCAATTTATTACATGCTTAGCAGGTATAGTAGGTATATGTGTATTTATTAATATATACTTCATAACTCTGTTTAACTACATTGAGCACTGTTTTGTTTACACTATATATTAGTGTAAGTAAATATTTATCTGCTTATCTGTGTATACACGCTATTGCATGTATATACAGTTGCTAATATCTTGTTATTTGGTTTATATCCACACTTTACATTATATATATATATATATATATATATATAAAGTATACTTTCATTTATCATGAACTAACTACATATATCTCTTATTACTCTGAATGTTATTTTAGTGGATACTCATGATTGAGCAGAGGACCTGATTTTTTTTTTTTAAGCAGTGTTTTATTGATTGATTCTTTATGGCTTATCGACATTTTGCAGGTTATTTATAGGCCAGAAAATATTTTTAGATTCTAAGAACTTTTGGGAGATAATAATGATTTTATTGATAAAAGACCTACTAATTAACTCATTGCTAGAGGGAGATGAGGTGGATTCATACCTTTCTCAAGGTGTATTTGCATGTAAGTCAATGTAACAAACATGTCTGGAATTGGAACTCAGCTTCCTGATTTTTAATATCAAGCCTTTAATCATTATATCACACACATGTCCATGCTTACAGCCCCTGGTATTTGTTAAGTGGTCACCCATCTAGGTACTGATCAGGGTTGGCATTGCTTAACTTCAGTGATCATACATGAACTTTAAGCACTATGAATTACTGTCTAAGTTTCAAGAATGAGGAGTTATCATTATTTACATACAGACTATTCTCCTGATCTTTGTTGTTGGTATCACAAAGTTAGGGCAATGGAAACAGTGTGAGCAATAACTGAGCAGTACTAAATACTAATTAGATAATATATCGCAGGTCATGGGCAGTGGAATGAGTAAGTATCTACCACCTTAAACTAAATAATGTGCTCAGTTTGAAAGTCCTTGAATGTTAGCGAGAGTTACAAGCACCTGCTGAAGGCTGGAGGACACAGCAGTTGAAACAAGATAACAACAACAAAGGTGAGGATAATAGTGTGTGAGTAAATAATGTAAACAGTGTGAATTATGTCTATCAGCCTGTGCATTAGAGAGACTTAATAAAGACAGAGCTTGTATCCTCCTTTTGCAGGAGAAACCATCATCTGATCCAGCATAATTTAGGCCAGTTTACCACAGAGAGTGTCAGAGACTGGAAACCTGTAAATACTCCCTTTGAAGAATGCATGTTCTTCCGTTCACATCTGGAATGCCCATATCTGCTTCATTTTCTATCCAAAATGTAAGCAAAGCAATTTTTTTAAGGAATTAAGGAATTTTATATAAATCCAACATTATTTTTTATTACTCTTGATGTTATTTTAGTGGGCCCCAAAGTCTGAGTAGATGCCCCATTGTTTTTTTTTTTTTAAACAGTGTGAATTATATATGCCTAACCCTGCGCCTTGTGAGTTAAATTGGGTACACGGAACCCCTGGGGGCCATTGATAGCTGTGCTAGCAGGAAGTCACAAGTCATTGTGGCCGAGGGCTTGAGTGTACTGGCTTTGTTCAAATTGTTGATCACACTAGATAACATGCTCTTTCCCAGAACCTGTAACTAAGGTCTGCTCAGCAGAGTTGCAGTATAAATTTGACATGTCACTCAATCTATAAAAAGTGCTTAGCAAGGTGACAGAGGAATGCCACTGTGGTAGCAAACAGAAGACATGTGCTGGATTAGTTGACTTATGCTATGCCGTTTGGTGAAAGAAACAAATTAGGGAATTTTATTCCAGGCAGAAAGGAACTGACAACGTACAGCTTGAACTTTTATTGTATTCCTTCTATAGGTTGACCAAATATAGTGGTCATTACAATAGTTCCTGAATCAAAATGACTTTAACTATTTGGAAATCTGTAAAAAGAATTTGGATAATGTTCTTTATTGAAAAGGGTAAAAAGTTGTGGGAGGATAGAACTATGAAGTTTGAAAAATTGCACAAGAAAAACAATGGTCAATATATTGCTCTGTGAAGCAGAAAAATAATTTTTTTATTTAATAAAGTAGCTGAACTTTAATGAAAAATGTTGAAGAGAGTTATCATAAAATTGATTTTCTCAAGGAAACTAATGCAAATTGATTTGTGAATTCTACTAATATCTGTTTGAAGATAGAATCATTTTATTGTAATTTAGAATGAAGACAGAAAAACAGCAAAATATATCCAAGTTTTCTTATTTCAAATCATGACTATGTTGAAGAAAGAACAAAGATTTCTCAATTCAAATCATCTGACTACACTAGTTGTGGAACCAACAAAGCATTGGATGCTTAAAAATCAGAGAAGAAACTCTTTGACGATTTAATTGAAAATTATCAGAAAATTAATTAAACTACTCACCACTTTCAGCTTTAATGTATTCACTAAAAATTTTAAAGAGTTGAGTTGTACTCAAAGATCCATATGCTTTTTGAATAATGGCACTAGTCCTAGCAACAGAACTTAAGGATTGCTTGGCAGATGGCATTGTCATATTAGACTCTGAGAGAATTGTTTTGGCCTGAAGCAATACATACTGAAAAAAAAAAAAGAAAAAAAAAGACAATTTTATGATATATCTGTTGACATAAAAAGAGACAGAAAATAATAAAAAAAATATCAAAAGAATTTTTAAAGAATGAGAAAATAAATTTATTTAAAATAAATAAGCTCTTAGGCCTTTCACTGCTACATTGTTACAGCATTGTTGCCTAGCTGGACTGGTCCAATTTTTAGGAAAAAATCAGAAGTTGCCATTTACTGGAAATAAATGACAATAAAAGTGCTTAGTGATTTCTTCTAAGTGCAACCATTCTGGTTCTGATGGATTGTTAATTAAAACAAGAAGTGCTTTAGTAATTCTAATACTTCCAAAATGAAACTGCTCTCTTTTAATTGTCTTAGAAAACATTTCTTGCTTTCCTTGCATGGCTGATGCTAACCACCAGGAGAGTGGTTCATTGTGCCCTCTTGAGCCAATGTTTTCCACTCACATGAAGTAAAATGATTATATTGAATTAATTGCTAGGAAAGTTGGTTCACTGCCTTGTGTAAGTTTTCTCACCAGAATCTATCTTACACATTTATAAGTCTAACATTCATCTAGGCATTGTGTTGATTCCAAGCTTTTATGGAATGACTGCAAGACACTTGTCCCTCCCCAATTTATCAGCAGAAGCACACAAATGCATGCTAAGATTTTTTCCTAGCCAATAAAATAGGCTGGTTCTTGGTTTCATTTGACTCAGTCCTGGTCTGTCTTGTCTTGAAGTTAGAATGCTATGTTTACTTGTCCAAACTTGCTTCTGTATGTATTGTCAACCCTAATTCTTAGTTTGTTAACTTTTTGCCTTATTAGTGTTGCTTTGCCTTATGACTGTTGCTTTGCCTTGCATATATTGTTTGTTTGATTTATATTATTTTTGCCCTGTTCTTTTCTTTTTCTTGTTATTGAAAACTTTATCAATTTTGTTTGTTGGACACTTTTGTCACTTATTTTGCAATTGACCATAGCTACTCACTCCATACATTGGATATTGCTGCCACATCTGGTCTGGGTGCTTCTACTGTGAGAGATTCTTGAATAAAATGTTGAACTTGTTTCAAATCATCTTGCCTAAACAATGGACAAGGATTTCTTGTAAATTGTCTGGGTTGAAGAATAGACAAAGTTTCATTGTTTCAAATCATCTGTGTTGAACATCTGACAATATTTTCTTATCTCAAATCAAATGGGTCAAACAATGGACAAGGATTCCTTGTTTCAAATCATTTGGATTAAACGACAACCCAAAATTTTCTTATTTCAAATCATCTATTCCCAAATTGTGGAACCACCATACCAAAGAACTGGATACTTAAAAATCAAAGAAGAAACTCTTTGTCAAGTATTTTTCTGTTAATTCTTTCTTCTCAGATGCTGTTTACTTCTTGCTTAAAGTGAAATGCTAATCTCTATTTAGTCATACAATTAATGACCTGTCCTTCCTTTTTTCAGTTATCTCATATGACTGAATATTAGACATGTATCCTTTGATTGCACTATCCATGACTTGTGAATTTACATTACTAAATTTCCACAGATTTTCAGATGCTAAGACACAAAGTATTTGCATGTTTTCTTACTAAACACTAAGGAACAATCACTTTTTAACGGATATACTCAAAATACATTTTAGGGGCCAAGATACAATGTATTCAGATGTTTACATTATAAACCATAAAGAAACATGTTTAACAAATATACTCAGTAATGCCCCTGAAACAAATCATGAATCCAGCTATGGGTTAAATAGCAGAGTAGACTGGGCTGTCTTGCCTTATGTGGCAACCAACCAAGGAAAATGAAAACTGAATTCAAGCCTCTATTGTCTTGCTTGTCTCTTCAGAAAAAGAAATTGTAACTAATGTCCAATCAGCAGAGTTGCAACAAAAACCAAAGGTGGGTTCTACAGGTTGAGTAAATGTCTGTAATAGGGTTTGGTTAGCCACCCTGGAAGACAACTGTGTTTAGAAAGGAGCCATTATAATTTTATGATCATACAGTTGAATCTTAAGGCAGAAGATGGCAACAAACTGGGAACTTACTTGTTTGACAAATTCTCCAATGTGTAGTTGTTCCATGATGATTTGTGTTAAGTTGCTGATTTTTTCTTTGTCAATATGGCACAGATGCTGGCTGATTTCCCCATAGGTGATGTCAGTGTCATTTGAAAGGGTTAATACATGGCTCAAATTGAAGCACAGTAATTCAGAGAAGTTACTGGACTGCAAGTGGATAAACTGAAAAACAAAGTCTCAAAATTTATAGCATTTTATAGCATTTTTTTTTAGGAAGAGTTTTCTTCATGACAGATTATGACAACCTCTTCAGTAGGCCTAGGATAGATATAAACAACATATAGGAGCCATTAATAAAGAAAGAGAAATGATACTGGAAAGAGCCAAACTTAACAGCAGCAGTAAGGGAAAGAAGGAGCAGTGAGGGGAGTCAATCTAGACAGCAAGGCTTAAGCAAAGCATAAAGAAAAAGAAGTAGCAGTAAAGAGGAGCAAGCTTGACAGCAATAGCAGCAAAGAGGAAATAAGAACATTAGGTTTAAGGCTCCAAGTTTTAGATCCAGGAAGATCTAAAGAGGTGGTGTGGTAAAAAAGGAGTGATGAAAAATGAGAAGCAATAGCATCTGAATTAAGAGAGAGGTTATTCATTTATTTATTTTTACAGAATCTGTCTAACAAAATCTAATTCTCAAAAACATGTTACTCATGATCTATAAATAATAAAATTAACCTCAATTCATATATGAAAGCATGATTTTATATAATTTTATGACTTAAAAACACAGATAGAATTGGTGGCAGTCAGAAGACCACAAATCAGCTAGAGGACAACAGAGGTTCTTAAAAACGCAAGATCTTTACTCGGTTATTTGCTGCTGATCAGAATTACCTGCCCTTTGTCAGTGAAGTAAACAATCTGTTGTCATGGCAATAGCAGACATATTTAAAGTCAAATGAAAAATCTTTCTTTCATCAGTGTGTCTTTGGAGACACAACATACTTTTTTCACCTCTTAACATTTCATCTTGAAGAAAAGAGCATCTATTCTAAACATTATTTTAAACACAGACTCTGTTGCCAAGTAACTATACTTCTATTATTCTTTTCTCTCATTCAACTGATAGAACATTAAAGACTTTATAAAAACTATTAGTACTGTCCAACTATTGTATTTATATATTTGCCTTTTGAACCTGTTATCATAGGAATAAATTTGATTATATATTCGACAGATTCAATTACTAGGTCTGCAGTCAGAATCTTACATATTTTTAAGTCTACTATTCATCCATACATTGAAGAATTCAATGAAGAATCTGCAATGTTATCAGTCCTGACCTGGCATCTTGGCCTTAGTCAATTTTCCACCACCATACCATAGCTTCACTGTGTCTTTTCTATAAATAGTAGAAAATGAATGGTGGATATCATACCATAGTAGAAAATGAATGGTGGATATCATAGCATAGCAGAAAATGAATGGTGGATATCATACTATAGTAGAATATGAATAGTAGATATCATATCATAGTATAAAATGGATGGTAGATATAACAGCACCACAAGGATTATATATGTAAGCTCAGAGATGTTATCAAATGTCTCACCTGTGCAAGGGATATAGTGGAGTCCATTAAAGCATTTGAAATATTCTGTGGCAGTGCCAAGTCCTCGGTAAGATACTGACGTACAGTATTGGGAGATTTCAAGAAATCCTTAAAGACAGCTGCAAAAAATAAAAATAATAATTCAATTCAAAACCATAAGGAACAAAATAATTTGTCAATTTTAATCATGTTTATAGGAAGATATATTTTGAAAGACATTATCTTAAGTTCCACAGAAGATTTTTTGAAAAGGAAAATATTCAAAATTATTTACAGCTGCAAAAGGTGACAATTTATAGTTGTAGAAACATTGTTATTATTATTATAAATAAAAATAAAATATAAAATAATAATTATGAAAATTATAAAATAAAACAAAATTTAAACCTCACTTATAATAAATTAAATGAATAAAAAATAAAAATAATAAAATGACTCCCAGCATGCAACAGGGACTGTAATGACTGGAAGTACAGACATCCCGCCAAGAGACGCAAGATTCAACCTCTTTGCCCAAGAACTGTTGGGATGACAACATGTGTGTAAATTCCTCCATGATAGGATTTGTGATATTATAGAGTGACTTACTCCCTTTTATATGAACCTTATCACAATTGTAATGCAAAATACACACACCAATACACACAACTACATAAATAAAAATGTATAAAATTACCATACCATGTTTTTTATAGTCATTATGTACATTTGTTTGTTCTGTTTTTCCTCATGAACATAAGGACAATTTTTATGACCACATGGTGTAAGTGAATATACCATAACACAGTTTTTAAATAACAAAATTTTTTTCCTTTTCTAATCAAATATTTTTTCTTTGGTTTTTAACCAATAAAGATAAAAATACTGTGCTTAGAGACATTCTTGAAACATTGCTTCATATTTTCATAAAGAACAAAATTTCCATTTGAATTCCACACCTAGAATTGTAGTCCATGAAGTGTTATGAGACTTAAGGGTCACCAGTTATGGGACAGTTATGGCCCCTGGTAGTGAGCAGTTTTATTAATGACCAGCAGTAAAGGACTATCATGATATATGTGTTGCTTCGTCGTTCTTCCTAAAACCCAGTTGGCAATATTACGTGTTGTCAGAGATTAAATAATACAAATTGGATAGGATTTATGAAACAAATCCATCCAAACTTTCATTCCCTCTAATGATTCCATATCTAGTGATATAGCAAATACTAAAAGCATCTATAGAAATTCATGGCAAATGATTTTACTATAGGAATGCATTAGAAATGATTTGAATACTAGCTCTTTATGGAACCTGGAATATTATGGCTAGGATTTATGAAACAAATCCATCCAAACTTTCATTCCCTCTAATGATTCCATATCTAGTGATATAGCAATTAATAAAAGCATCTATAGAAATTCATTGCAAATGATTTTACTATAGGAATGCATTAGAAATGATTTGAATCCTATCTCTTTATGGAACCTGAATATTATGGCTAGGATTTATATAGGAAGTAAGCATATTATATTAAGTGTTAACATAAAATAATAAGTGAATAAGTTGTATATTTGCTAATTATTTTACTATAGGAATGCATTGAAAATCAGGAAGAAAGGCATTGTCATTGGTCAGGAATGAAGGCAAGCATTACTGATAGAATAGGGTTATTATATGTAGAATCTAAATTGCACTGCTAATGATTTTACTATAGGAATGCATTGAAAAATCAGGAAGAAAGGGATTGTCAGTGGTCAGGAATGCTTTGAAAAATAAGAAAACACTTGTCAGTCATCAGGAATTATCATTTGTTTTATAATAAACACTTTCCTGTATAGAGTTACTGATTTATGAGCAAGCGCCAAAATGGTTTATAACAATATCCATATTTTATGGGCAAAATAGTAACTTTTGAAAATATATCAGGTTTAGAACATTTCAGCACCTCTTTGTACTGTTTACAATACCATAAATAAAACTCATGTACATTTAAGAGGGTTTTAATTTAAGAACAACAGTAATTTTCAGTTTGACATTTCAAAGAAGTGCTTGCCCAGAAATTACGTACATTTATATACTATTTGGTCTGTACAGGTAATTTTGTTATTAGTCAGCACAATCTTAACAATATATATACAGGTGACACTGCTTTGAGGAAAGCAAAATATCAGTTGTAAGATGACAAAATTTATTAAGACCTACAAGGGACAGGAAATTGTGGAGAGCCATGATTGTTAACGTCCTGAAAGGACATGGCACATAGAAAAAGTCTGTGGGAATTAAATACACAAAAATAGAAATATAGAAAACAGAAAAAATTGTAAGTTATTTAATCAATGTAGTGAGTTGATTCTAAGAGAACTAGGAGTCCTACCAGGATTTATTGTTGGTGAAAGCAACTTTAACAACATAAAAAATGCACAATGTTCATGGCAGACACAAAAAGAATACTAGAGTGACTAAATTTCTACTCACCACTAAGTGCCATTACTTTTTCAACAGCTGTTAAGCCAAGAATTCCCTGCATAACGACTTTCACATCTTGCATGAATTCGTGAGAGAAGGTTCTATTATCTATAACTCTGAAATCGTTGATGATCCGTGTTACTCTGTAAATAAATATAAAAGCTGAAATCACTTTCAGGAAATTAATTTTCATGTGGAGACAGGTGTTTCCTTATGCCTCAATACAAAGAACAAGAAACTTTTGAACAATATACGTAAAGAAATATAAACAGTTTCAAGGATTCTGTGATAATTAAAGTCATCCATTACCTGTCAATGAAAATAATAGATATAGGTTAGCTGGTTTGAGTTTGTGAAATAATATATTATTCTCTGTTTTGGATGTCAGAACCAGTTATTTTTTTTTTTATTGTGAGTCTATAGGTAAACACTAGCTGAGATTATAGGTGAGTCTATAGGCAAATACTGTCCATTTTTATACAAGAGTCCACAAGCAAAACTTCATGTTTATGCTAGAGTCTACAGGCAAACACTGGCCATGTTTATGCTCTAGTCAACAGGTAAATGTTGACCAGGTTCATGGTAGAGATGATATGTAAATGCTGGCCAGTTTTATGTTTGAGTTGATAAGTAAACAATGGCTGGGTTTATGCTTGAGTTGTTAGGTAAATGCTGGCTAGATTTATGCTTGAGTCAATATTTAAATGTTGGCTGGTTTTATGCTGGAGTCAACAGGTAAATACTGACCAGGTTTATGCTAGAGTTGATAAGTAAACAATGACTGGCTTTATGCTTAAGTTGATAGGTAAATGCTGGCTAGGTTTATGTTCGAGTTGATAGGTAAACACTGATCAGTTTTTTGCTGGAGTTGATAGGTCAATAGGCAAGCAGTGATAGCTCGGTGTGTGACCAACATTACACAACAGCATTTATTAGTCATGTGTACTACATTTGAATTTGGTATGAAGCAGTGTCATGTGGTAAAACTTTTGGAAGTAAAAATTTGTGCACTGCATAAAATTCTCAGAGGCATGAAATTCTCAGAGGCATGAAAGCAATTAAACAATACAGGTTCTCGAAGAAGACATCTACAGTTTACAACTTGAAAGTAAAATTTTCTTTTTTGGCACCACAACAATGGAAAGGTTGCATTGCATTTTGTAAACAGTGCCAACAGGAAGACTGAAATTCCATACATCAACAGATTTCTGGTTATTCCCTAAATTCTTTTTTTATGTGTTGTCTCTCTTCAGGACGCTGGTGATCATGGCTCTCCCCATTTTTCTGTCCTTTTGTTATAGTAATTTACCCACACACACATGGACTCTCTCAGCTATAAATAGGAGCAGGTACTGCCTTTTGGAGAGGGAAGTTTCCAGCAGTCATCTCTGACAGTTGGACTGAACATTCTTAATTTAACACTCATATTTGTTATATATTTGTATTACTGTCTCTTTTAATATATTTATTTAACTCAATTCCTCTCTTTGTGTCTTTATTTCTGGCCATAACACCTTTGTAGCTCTTGATAAATTTTACCTTTTTGTTATCTCTCCTAAAATTTATTCTGCCATCCATTTACACAAGCTCTCTAGATAGGTTATGTGTTGTTTTCCTCTGTCTCTCTTGCCTTCAATCTGTCCTGTGAGCATCAAATTTTCCAAGCCCCCCTTCCACATTATGTGCCACAGAAATTTAAACTGTAACTTTCTATAAGTGTCCTTTTTGTTTCTATTTTGTCTAAAACATTGTCATTACTCAAATGTTCAGTCCATGGTATTCTCAGCATCCTTCTGTAGAACCACACTTCTGTTGCTTCAAGTCTCTTCTTCATCTTTGAGGAGATTGTCCAGAATTCATTTATATATGGGAGGACTGATATTACATAACAGTCCAGGACTCATTTTTTGGTTTCTAATGAAAGTTTTGTGTTTATTAATACTTTGCTTAGTTTCTGAAAGGTATTTTTCACTATCCCAAGGCACCTTCAGATTTCAGTGTCATATTTTCTGTTCTCTGTTAAAGCAATCCCCAGATATTTAAATTGTTGTACTTGCTGTCAAATTTTATATAAGCTTATTGGGTAAATTATTCACTTCTTTCCTCTGTTCTTTCAATATATCTTGTGAGTGTCAAATTCTCCAAGCCTACAGTCAAATTTATATGCCTTAGAAATTTTAACTGTCTGCTTGGTTTTAAATTGGAATGTTCTTTTTGGTTCTATTTTCCCTAAAACTTTATTGTTGCTCACATGTTCGGTTCATGGTATTCTCAGCATCCTTCTGTAGAACCACACTTCTGTTGCCTCAAATATTTTCATCTGTGAGGAGATTGTCCAGCATACACTGCCATATAGGAGGACTGATATTATATAACAGTTCAGTACTCTTTTCTTTGTTTCTCTTGCTTCAAGTCTCTTCTTCATCTCTGGGGATATTGTCCAGTATTTACTGCCATATAGGAGGACTGATATTACATAACAGTACACTTTTTTTTTTGTTTCTAATGAAATTTTTCTGTATCTTAATACTTTGCTTAACATTTGGAAGGCATCTTTCACTATTCCCTTGCACCTTCGCATTACAGTATCACATTTTCCTCTATTCAAACACTTGTCAGAAATTTAACACAATTTATTGAATATATGAAAACTTTACTTACCCCTTTACAATCTTCTCTGGAACATTGTCAACAGCCAGTTGTTGTATTTCTGGTATCAGTTTTGATAGTTGGTTAACGTTTAGGGAATTAAACAAGACCTCCAAAGTTAAAAGACGTTGGATATTTTCAAGAAGCTCAGCCATGTCTCGGGAGATGTTCACCAGCCAAGGTAGGTCAATATGAATACTTCTGTCTAGTAGGGAGAGCTGAATTATAAAACAAAGATCATTGTTTCTTAGACTTATTAATAGATTTTAATGAACTAACAAATAAATATATAAATGGTTGTCTAAAAAAAACAAAAAACAACCTATTTATAGGACTGCCATTCAGCCTTGCTTTGAATATTGTTGTCATATCTGGTCTGGTGTATATTTTTATAGATTCTTGATAAAATCGAAAGAAGAAATGATATCGGTCCTGACCTAGCATCTTAGCTTCAGTCACTTTCCCAATGACATAATGTAGCTTCTCTGTGACTTTTCTATAAATACTTTCATGGTAATTGTTTTTTTTTTAATTTTATCTTATTTCCCCACACAGACAAATTGCACATATGGGAACTAGTTAAGACTTTCTAGAGACTTTAAGGTATTATGTTAGCTGTAGTAAGAATGTTTGCTTAAAACTTAACAACCCATCGGTCAGCACGAGATCACTGTAGTAAGAATGGTAAATAAGAATGTCTTGTTTTGGTGTAAGGAATACTGTACTATGTTTGGGTTTGTGGCTAATTAAGTTTAAGACAGGTTGAAGACCAGACCTCCTCTATCCCTGCTTTTGACATTGTGCTATATTATTGTATTTTTTTAAAAATCAGTGTCACCCCAAGCAAGGTAGTACAGCCAGTAAGGTGCAAGGGGTTACAGGGTGTGGAAGAATTAAGAATCAAAACATTAATAATGAATGAGAGGAGAAAAGAACAGTTAGGAGGACAGTAGATAGTGATTGACATTGCATTTAAATTTTTGCAGATCAAAGTTGGCTGGAAAGCATGGAGCCGGAAGGGAGTTCCACAGGTGAGAAATACAAGAAAAGAAATGGTTAGCATAGAATTTACAGCTACTTCTAGCTAGCTCAACTGTAAAATGATGAGATCTCGCTGTCAGTCTAGCATTGTGCTTAAATTCAGAAAGTCTAGGTACTATAGGCAAGAGGTAAATAGCAGGAACACTGGCAGCAATATTCAAAGCAGGAATGAATGGTAGACTTATAGATATGCAAGATAGATTCCAGAGAGAAAAACTCTCTTGCTTGACACAGTGAGCCGACTTTCTTAGCAGGTGATCTGGCAATGAATTCAAAGTAGTCTTTCCACTTCATGTCAGCTGAAAACGTTAGCCCAAGAAGGCATAATGAGTCACTTTCTTGGAGGACAGCATCAGCCATGCTGATGGAAGGCAGAGGGGTCTCTAAGATGATTAATAGAGAGAAGTCTAGTTCTTGAAGTGTTAAAATTCACAAGACATCTTTTGCCCCAGTTAACAAAGGTCTTAAGAGTGTTTTGCACATAACCTGCCATTTTGACATTGTTGGACTAATCAGCCTTACTATCAAGGCAGGAATAAATGTTAGTGTTATCAGCTTTCAAATTGAGAGCTGATGTCATCAGGAAGGTCATTAAAGAAGATTAAAAACAGCATAGGATCAAGGATGGAGCCTTGGGTGACAATGTGTTAGTATGAAAGGATATAGACAAGTGGCTGTTCAGGATAGCTCTCATTTCACAATTTGATCAGCTCAAAAATGTGCCCGGAGATAAAGTAACTTTTCAGCTTGTGGGAAAGACTTGAATGCCAGACCCTGTCGAAGGCTTTTGAGATGTCGATTGCTACAGCCCAGGCTTCACCATTTTTATGTAGAGCATGATAGACTCTTTCTGTAATTATCATCAGTACATCAATAGATGACCTGAAGAAACGAAAGCCATATTGCTTGTCTGAGAAAAGGCCCTACGATGAGAGACGATGAATCAATTCAGCATTGATTAGAGCCTCTGGGAGTTTGCCAAGAAGTCATCGAAGGCTAATAGGCTGATAGTTGGAAGGGTCAGACAGTTCACTGGAGTTCTTAAAAACTACAACAACAGACGATGACTTCCTGAAGGCAGAAAAGCAAGAGGCAGCAAGGCATTTATTATACAGTTTAAAGAGAACACAAGCCAGTTCAGGAGAACACTTCTTAATCATACTTATTATAAAACCCAGGTTGTGTGTGTGTGTGTGTGTGTGTGTCTGTACGTTTATATATTGGATTGGATTTCCTACATTTTTCAACCGATTTCAACAAAACTTCACAGGACTACGTAAAATTACCTTGCAGTGGTTCTGACGGCACCAAAAATTGGAAAAACACAATTGTTTTTGCACAAAATCAATTTGAAAACACGATTAAGAGGCATCACTGTCGCGAGAATGAAAGGGGGACAACTCATATCAAGTTATACTTATTATAAAACCCAGGTTGTTTGTGTGTTTGTGTGTGTGTGTGTATACGTTTATATATGGGATCGAATTTCCTACATTTTTCAACCGATTTCAACAAAACATCACTTTTTTTTTTTTTGGCAGATAGTGTTTCTTATTGTCTTGCACACTTTTTTCTTTATTTTTACATTCAGAATGCTTTAAAAATTCTATTTATAAGACAATTGTTTGTAATAAAATTCTATTCAATCGGTAGACTCATAACGATTTAAAACAATGCTTTTTTTTGAGTTTGGGTTTGACCAATTCGTAAAAAAAAAAAAACAAAACAAAACTAATTAAGATATGCGTGTCTGTCAATCTTAAAAAATAATCTTTGTCAATTTTATTTTTCAGTCTTTATGATGGTCGATACTTGATCTATCTCTTATTGTTACATCCCCGGGCAACGCCGGGCTCTACTGCTAGTGACTATTACAGGGATACCATCGAGACCACATGCTTCATGGGAATCCAAGTTAGAGATGACAGCAAAAAACCATGGAAGGGGTTATATGCATGTTGTTGATTTTCAATCAGGAATGACTGCAAAAGTTTTTCCCTTCTACTTTTATAAACAAATGTCCACAAAATACATATGGGGTACTTTTCTTAGTCAATAAAATAGGTCGATTTACAACTAATAATAATAATAATAACTTCTTAAACTCCCTAAGTAGATTAACTAAGAAGAAATGAACCTCCCCATTATTTTACACAAGGACAAAACATTATTATGGGACTTCATATAGCTTTTTGAATTCAGAGTTTCCTTCTCCTAGACCGGTTGCCATTCAAGAATATAGAACACAATCTATCCTGCTATTTACTCATAGCTGTGGGGGAGGGGGAGAAAAAGAGGACACATATCTTCTCCCAAGGATATTAGCATGTAAGTGAATGTAATAGATCTGACTGGAATTTGAACTTAGCTCTCCAATTCCTCAATCCGAGACACTATCCTTTACTCTACTGTGCCTCCATATTGACTTGACTCAGTCCAGATCTTCCTTGTCTATATGGAAGATTTACTTGACCGACTTACCTTTTCTGCATAGAAGCTAATTTGTGGTTCGTAAACTTCTTGCTTTCTTACCTATGAATTTGCTTATATCGTTTGCTTGCTTGCCTGATACCATTTAATTTTTATCCCTCTTTCTTTCTATTGTAAATATTATTAATTTTGTTTATTGCACATTTGTGTTATTTTGCATCTGGATGATGGCTTCTATTTTAACACATGTCCCCTCAACAGAAAATCAGTTCTAATTGGGAAGTTAGGAAGGGATACTCCAGATGAGTCAAGAGTAGAATTTGAGGAGAATTTATGGGCAAAGCATTCAGCTTTATCAGCAGAGGATGATAACACCTCAAATCAATTGAAGTGGGGTGGGGAACAAAAACCTTTCACTTATTTAATACCCTATTACAGAGACACCAGTAGTCACAAGCCAAAATTTTTTAGAGGCCTTCTTTTCTCAGCAAACAGGGGCTTAGCTCCTTTGAGGACTTGCTCACATTTGTTAGAAGCAGTAGCAAATATGCACCTGTTATGAGAGCTGTGACACTGGTATAGCTGGAAATAGTGGTTCCTGTGTGCTATGGCAGCCAAAATAAATATTAATTTCCTCTATGGTACTTAAACTTCATGAATTTAAGCACAGTACTAAAGGTCTCATCATTTTACACTTGAAATGACTAGATTTAACCAGAAGTTATATGCTAACAGTTTTTTCTCTTGCACTTTTCTCATGTGGAATTCTCTTCTGGCATCTTACTTCCTAGTCAACTGTGATTATCAAAAGTTTAAATGCAATGCCAATTGTCATCTTCTGTCTTTTTAATTCTTGTTATATTATTGTATTTTCTCATTAATAGTGTTTTTTTATCTCATATTCTCTAGCACTCAGTAACCCCCCCCCTGTGTCTTAATGGCTTTATTGCATTGCTTGGAGTGAAATGATTTAAAAAGAAAAAAAGATTACTAAGGACAAGGCTTCATCTAAGAAATGCACACAATCTAAATTTAAAAAAAAAAAAAATCATATCAACATTTTAGTGAACTACACTCACTCTTTGTATTCCAGTGGTGGGGTGCAAGTTCTGTAAAAAAATTGTGTTATAATGGATGCTACTTGCCTCACCTATAATTATAATGGATGGTGAAAACAAGAGGGAATTGTGGGTAGGAAAATGTGTCAATGTGAAATTCGTTGGTGAGAGTAGATAATGATTATAGTTAACTCTGCTTGTCAACTCTCTGTCTCCAGGCGGAGAATAACCCAGACGAGTCTATACCAAAGGGCAGAATATGGGTGTGTGTATACGAACAATTTTTACCTGAGCCTATGGGCTCAGAATTGCCACATGTAGAAACTGGCCTTGTGCCACATCCTGCCTCGTGGGGAGGCCTTGGGTAAATACAGAGTCAAGCAACAGACAGACAAAACGTGTGGAAAAGGAAAAAGAAACTGTTTTGCCCCATATGCAATAATGTCACGCCAATCGATTTCATTATGGCACTTTGATGTGGTGTAGTGCTTAACAAGCTATTTTAGCTACCATGTATGGGAAATTATGATATGCTGGAGCTTTTCAGTTGAGAGGGAGAAATAATTGCCTTATTGGCAAAAGTGAAATTAGTTGCCAGGTTGCAAAAGAACCCTGACTTTGTAAATTTTATTGCCTTGTTTCTGGAAGGGGACACTTTAACTCTCTATCTGCAAATTGAATTTCATTAG